TTTTACAGAGAGATTCAATTATTTTTAATACAATTTTAATCTAATTACTCGAAAAATGAAATTATTCTTAAAAAATTTATTGAAATTTGTCAAAAGAATTTTAATTACCTATTTAAAAATTTTTTAATAAAATTCTTTAAATGAGAATTCAATTTTAAAAAAGATTCAATAAATTATTTATTTTTGTATTTACATAATTGAATTCTCGTAGAATTTTCTAATAAATATTGATTTAAATTTGAATTTTTAGAAATAATTGAACTTTGATGAAAAGGTTTCAAATTATAATCTTTGAATGTTTGAATTTTTTATAGTTTTAATTGAAAACTGTGTAGATTTAAGTTTTTTGAAAAATTATATTTTTTCGTTTATTTTTTGAAATTATTTGAAGTTTTTATTTTCTAATATATGTTTGATGGAAAAATTTGCGAATAATCGATGAAATTTCATAAAATTGAATTGTAAGCAAATGAATTTGAAAATTTTCAAAGAAATTTTTCAAAAATTATTAAAAATAATTAATTTAAAGAAGAATTTCAGTTAGAAATTTTAGAAAATAATTGAATTGAAATGAAAATTTTTATAAAGTTACAGTAAAAATATTCTTATAATATAAAATAATGATTTTATCGGTTGGTCATTTTTATAATTATTATAAAACGTGAAGACATCGATTGCTTCGAGTCGAAGCAATCGGAGTGATCGATTTCTTCATGTTTTATAACAATTTTTTATAAGTTTTTTAATTTCAAAAAAGTTTTGAATTCGACATTTTTGAAAATCTTAATTCTTATGGAAAAATTATAATGACTAAATATTTATTTAAAAAAGAATAAATTATTGGAATTGTTCTAAATATTATTTATAAATTTTAATATTTGAACAATATTAAAAACCTTTTGAATAATAATAATTGTATAATTTAATCTTCTAATGAAATTTATTTTTCAGGCTGGACTAATTGGACAATCTGAAGGACAGCAATAATGTGGAGAAGAAAAGTGGCCCCTGCACACTGCCGTATTTTTTTTTTTTTTTTGTTTTTTTAGTAGTTTATTTAGTCTGTTTTTTAATTTTTTTTTATTTTAATTTCACGGTTCCGTGTGGCTCTCGATCTGGTGCAGAAGTGCAATTCAAGAACCAGGGATCTTCGAGGGTGGCCCAAGAAGAGGTGATGCTGCAGGCAGGGTGGTTTCAATTTAGGAGAAATTCAGGGAATTTGTATAAAAGTTATTCAAAAGTCAAGGAATTTTAATTGAAGGGAACCATAAATTAAAAAACTTTGCTATAATAATAATATTTTGTCAAAATTTAGTTATTTTTAGCTTTTAGTTTAGCTGATTATATCAGGGAAAGTAGAAATTAGGGAGTTTTTGAAAATGAGATTTTTTGCAACCACCCTGTGAAGGATCCCATTGCCACAACGTGGGATCATCCACCGTTGGATACACAATGTGGACTATCACAAACTGTGAAGCCACTAAGTGAGTCGATTAAATAATCGGATAAATATTTAGAAATTTCACATTTGTTATTTATCCTTCTCTGTTTAACGCAATTTTTGAGCTTTTTTCTTGATTTAAAATTATTAATTTTATTTTATATTATACAATTTATTTTTATATTTTTTTATTTTTAATTTATTTTTATACAATTTGAGAATTGAAAATTGTTATAATATATCGTTTTTAAGTTGTATACTTTTCAAATGTTTTCTTTTCTTTTTAAAAAGTGAATTAAAATTTGATATTGATGGATTTTAAGCATTTAACTACATTGCATTAAAATAAATTGAATTAAATTAAAATAAATTTAATTTAATTATTTAGAAATTTTGTTGAAACAGGGAAGGTATTTTAACAACATTGGTACCTTGATCGAGTGTCATTTCTGTTTTCTTCAGTGTTGCTTTAAAAAAAGGAAAGGCTCTCTCAAAGCGAGTGCATTAAAGTTTTTGTATCCCTTTCTAATTCTAATTTTTTATAATTTCTCTACTTATTGAAAACAAGAAATATAAATAATTAGAAACTTAAAAAATAATTAGAGGTAAAAAATGTTATTCAAGTTTTATGCAACTGTTTAGTTTTCGTTCAAGAAGACATTTGTCTCGAGAAATTGGACTCGATCGAGGTTCCAATTTACAAATTTGTGTCTTATTTGTATTGTTTTTCTTGTATTGTATTATTTTCTTGACGTTCTCGTGATTCCACATGCTAAAGTTGTGTGGTTTTGCTTATATCCCTAATCTGGGGTTTTTGCATTAAATAATCGATTAGATAAAAAAAAAATCGGTCAGGTAGGCTAGCTTTTTGTGTGCGCCGTTAGTTGAATTAAACATAGGTTTGAAATTAAATAGACGATTTGAACAAGTGGAAAATAATCGGGAAAGTAGGCTAGCTTTTTTTACATGTCTATCGTGATTTATAAATAGTTTTGCATTAAATAGACGCTTCTAATCGCAATAAAATATTCGGGAAGGTAGAAATCGGGTAGGCAGAAAAAATCAGGAATATTTACGGCTCATAATAATTTGAGTCACAAAGTACTGGAGTTACCAGTACAAAATGGATTCTTCGGCTCATAATTAGAGTCACAATATCTGGTAAAAATTACCAGTACCAGTGAATTTTTATGGATCATAGTAAGTACTGAAGTATTCAAGTACTTCAAGTTAAAACTAAAAGTACGACTTGGTTAAAATTAATTTATTTATGCTACTATTTTAATGCAATTACTTCTTTTTTATTCATAAATATTTAAACTTAATTATACATACAGATCCACTAAGGGTGACCATCAAACTTTGAAACTTTAAAAATCGGGGAAGAAATGCAAATTCTGCTAAGCCTTAGATAAACCATTATGTAAATATATTTACAATCACTTGCGCAAAATAATCATTTTTAGAAAGATATAAACTATAAAGAATAACTAAAAAAGTTTTATACATTATCGACAATTACATTTTTACAACAATTAAAAAAAAAGAAAAAGTTTATGATCACTCGCAATAATTTAATAAGTAGTTCTCAACTTTTTTGTTAAAAACTAGACATAATTTTTTTCTCAAAAATGGCCATATCACAACTGATAACAAGTTTACGTCAACACAGTCCAAGTATTATTATTTTAGTAATTAAAAACTTTAAGAATTAACTTATTATTCAATGCTTTGTTATTGTAATCAGGGCCTTTGGGTGTTTAATCCCACTGGTCAATGCTTGCTTGCTTTTTTCTTAGTTAGGATCTTTGAGTGTTTAATCCCACTGGTCAATGCTTGCTTGCTTTTTTTATTAGTTAGGATCTTTGGGTGTTTAATCCCACTGGTCAATATGCTTGCTTTTTAGTTAGGATCTTTGGGTGTTTAATCCCACTGGTCAATATGCTTGCTTTTTTTATTAGTTAGGATCTTTGGGTGTTTAATCCCACTGGTCAATATGCTTGCTTTTTAGTTAGGATCTTTGGGTGTTTAATCCCACTGGTCAATGCTTGCTTGCTTTTTTTATTAGTTAGGATCTTTGGGTGTTTAATCCCACTGGTCAATATGCTTGTATTTTTTTCTTAGTTAGGATCTTTGGGTGTTTAATCCCACTGGTCAATATGCTTGTATTTTTTTCTTAGTTAGGATCTTTGGGTGTTTAATCCCACTGGTCAATATGCTTGCTTTTTAGTTAGGATCTTTGGGTGTTTAATCCCACTGGTCAATATGCTTGTATTTTTTTTTTTAATTAGGATCTTTGGGTGTTCAATCATTTAGATCACATGCTTGATTATTGTAGTTAGGACTTTTTTTTGTAATAGAATAGTTATTTTTAAAGCTTTGACTTTTTATTAAAATCTTTAAGAAAATCGCAAAATAGGCTTGAATTTAATTTTCAAAATATTTGGTGGTCACCCTATTTTAATTTTTTTCTTCTACTTATATATTTCTTCGATTTAATCAATTTATTTATATTTTTTGCATTTTAAATTTATTATAATTATATATATTTATAATACAAAAGTTTTTTTTCTTTATTAAATACATGAAAAAGTTTCCAGATAAATTAATACAACTTAAATAAAGTTGAATTAATATTTTCTGTTTAATTAATTAGGTGCACTCTCGTTATAGATATTCGAATAGTTATGATTAGATGTGAATAGAATGGATTTGTTTTAATGATAATTTGTATAAATTGATGATAAAGTTAAATTCGAAATTGAATGGTTGAAAAAGTTGTAGGATTTAAATTATGTCTAGAATATATTATTTGTGGTATACTACCACCTTATAGAGGCATTGTGGTCTGCGAAAGTTTCATAGATACACTGCGCTGTGGCTTATTATTATGTTCGTGTACTTTATAATTGGCTTATGGACTGAACTCATCATTTTGCGTGCACAAATGAGCTTGCACTGCAACGTAGTTTTGTGTACATTATTCACCGTGTATAATGTGCACTTCCGTGTATCTGTCTCTCTTGAAAAGTTAGACGATCCTCTATTCATTTTTTACCTCCCCTGTATACACACAAAAAAAGCAATAGATTTTCACAATTTATCTTCCTTTTTAACACGAAAATTATTTCACAATGATTAATTTGATTTTTTTTGTAGAAATTTTATACTAATGATTATTTATAATTTTATTCAATTATATTTATATAATTATTATGTTTTATTTTATTAAAATTAAAAAAAATTATAATTATAAATGATTATAAAATTTTTTTTTATTTTATTTTATAAATAAAAAATTAAGTTTAATTAATTAATTAATTAAAATTATAATTAAAATCCGAAATTTTAAGAATAAATTTAATAATTTATTCTTATTCGAATTTATTTTGTTTAAATTACTTTTTTTTGCGTTTTTGCATCTCTTTGAATTTGTATTTTTTCTTTTTGTGGGTTCGTTTTCATTCTTTCTGTCTTTAGAGTCGGAGAATAATAATTTATCTTTTGAGAATATTCTCACGCTTTCTGTTAAAAATGATAAATTATATTGTTCTTGAAAATAGTTTTTGTTTGGTGGAGAGAATGAAAAAATGGTAGAACATATTTTATGTAGAATAAAACAGTCTTATCTTTAATCGTACGACTATTTAAAATTGTTTACAAACTATTTACAAACTTAAATAATAGAATTTATTTAGTTCGATGAAAATAGCTTAATTTTGAGTCTTAATATGGAATAACAATTTCGTCTAGAGAATTTGTCGAGTGAGAAGTTTTGATGTGATGCCTCACGCAAAATTGTTCAATTCTGTTGCATGCCTCTTCCAACATGTCTATAGGTGGAGATATTACCAGTCTTATGTACGAAGGATAATCGAAACACTGAAACATTAAAAAAAATAATTAATTAACTGTATTAATAAGAGTTAGTTGATTAGATTATTTTTTTTTTATTATTAAGATTTGCTTTTTATTATTAAGATTTACTTTTAATTATTATTATTTTAATTCTTTTATTATTAATTTTTTAGTTATTGATTAACTGAATTAATTATTTTAATTCAATAGCAATGTGAAAATCAGATATAGATTTTTATTTCATAAAACTTTTTGAGTAAAGAAAGGAAAATGATTGATTCTCACCTTTCCAGGAAGGCAAAACACTGATTCCTCTGCTAACAATCGTTGCACGAATTCAAGATCTGATTGAAATTCCGGAAATGAATCCAGATCTATTTGTACCTGAAATATTCATTTACAAAATTAGTGAGTTTTCAAAGTACACTAGTTTTAATTAAAGTGAAATATTAAAAATTCATTGATAGTAATTTATTACTATTATATTATTACTATGATAATATTAGAATATTGATTAAGGTACAAAAGCGACAAAAAAAATGAATTGTCAAGAAAAAGTATTATTTATTTATTGATAATAATTATAATTTTAATAATGGATATGATGAAAAATAAATATTACTATTATTACAATTATATATAATAATAATTATACATTATTATTGTATTATGATACTATTATGTATAATATAAATATTAGTAATAATTAATTCTTAATTAAAATTAAAATTTTATTGTAGCTAACTAATTAGTTCACTTTTAATTAGGTTGAAAGCAACTAGAACAAGTTAATTATATTATACATTCACTATTTTAGTATTTTTGGTATAAGTTTATATTTGAAACAAATTTATTTAAAATTTAATTAATTAATGAGCAAAAAGAAAAATTTGTGGGTTTTAATTATTAATGTAAAAAAAAAATAAAGAGAAGAGTAAAAGATTTTTACCATCATGTACATTGCGCCGTCTGGCATGATTGGTTTAAGTCCGGGAATATTTACGATGTAATTAAACATCAACTTGGAGTGATTCTGCAAAGTAAAAAAGAAAAAAATGTAGAAAATTAAAATGTAAATTTAGTGTTCGTTTTAGTTATGACGTTTTTGTGCGTATTTCTATAGTTATGTTTTAACTTCAATTATCATGATTTGTGTTTATTCATGAAACACCTCTCATTTCCATTGCATCACAACTATAACAAAAATCAATAAACAAGTACGAGCAATTGTCCTGATTTTCATATTCGCTGTTCTAATTTGTGTTCATATTAAACATGTTGTGTTTAACATATTTCTGATTTTTTATTTAGAAATTGCTTTTCTTTCTTTTTCTGTTTAATTACTTTTTTTCATTTTCATATTGTTTTTTTATTTTCTTGTTCCTTTTTTTCATTTTTCTTTTAAAAATTGTTTTTTAATTTTTTATTTTTTTAATTGCTTTTCTTTTTCTTTTTCTTTTTTAATTTTTTAAATTGTTTTTTTAACAATAAAAATATACACTGGAAAAGAATTTATTTGATTCAAATAAGAATAACCACATACTTGACTATTATAAATTAAATATTTACTTGAATGAAATCATTTTTATTTGAATCAATTAAATTGTACCTATTTAAATCAATAATTTCAGTATTTGAACCAAAATATTGACTCAAATAAAAATTATTTAGTGAATATTTAATTGATAATAGTCAAGTAATCGTTTATTTGAATCAAACAAATTTTTTTTAGTGTTGCAAAATAGAACGGAAATGAAAAATTAATAATTAGTTAATAATAATTAATTATTATATATACTGAGAAGAAAAATGGTAAATTTTCCTCTTTAAAGGTTTTTGTCTCGATTGGTCTGAATTATTATTTCGAAAATTGATTATATATTTAGAAATGTAGTAATAATTATTATTATATTATTATTACTATTATCGAATGAGACAGACAAGTTCCATTAACTTGTTGCAATTGTCCATTCTATCAAGTGGATGTAGTTATTTGATGCTTAGTTACTTTGAAACTATTGTAGCACGTCTGGCTGCTCGATCGTGGTTCTACGTGTGTAATAACAAGTTCTTGTGTCTAAAGCGGATATCCCGGAATTGCTTTCTACTGTTATAGATACACCACCACACAATGAAAATTTTTATGGATTCGAATCATGATATTCTTGAAAACAAACTCGACACAGTTTTTCCTATTCATTCCCCATGCAAACTACTTTTTATGATTATTGATATCGCTTATTTATTAATTAGAAAAATAGCAAAAAACGAAATAAAAAATTTTTTTTATTATAACGTTGACAAAAAAATTCTGCATTTTACTATTTATTAGTTAAAAAAAATATTTGTTGGTCGCTTTTTATTTCAATTTTTATAGATATTATACGTGAGTAATTAAATTACGTAATTACGTAACTAAATATTATTTTAGTTTTTAAATAATAATTCTGTTTTAAATAGTAAATATAACTAAATTTAAATTTCGTTATTGAATATTAATTTAATTACTGAATGGAGAAATAATATTTATTTAGTTACTTTTTTTTTACTTCATACACTAAGTAACTAATAACTAAATTCAAAATAAAAAATCAATTACAAATAATAATTTTTCTATCATGTAAATTAAGAATTCTATTCTTTTTGGAGAAAAGAAAAATAATTTCTTCTGTTTTAGTTTCTAGGGAATTTATTTCCATTACATGATAATTATTGTCGATTGCTTTGAACTTATTTACTTACATATAAAGTTTGTATAATCTCCTCGAAATAATTCTGCGGCGTTTCGCTCAAAATTCGTGGAAGCGCTCCTTGAATTAACGTATTACTGCCAATTATTCGCTGACTTAAGCAATTCAGTCCTTTTCGAATCTAGAAATTCAAATATTTCTCTATGAGTTTTGATAATAGTTTTGATATCATTACCGAAAGTTCACAAAAAATAATTCTGCTTTCAAAATGTTTTTGTTAAAAAATTTTGTATTTTTTATTAGAAATTATTTGTAGTATTTTTTTTTTGTTAAAAATATATTTTTATTATTTTTTTATGACAAATTATTTTTATTTTTTGTATTAAAAATTACTTTTATTATATTAAAAATAATTTTTTTATTGTGATTTCAGAACTAATAAATTTTCCAAAAAATTTTTAGATTAAAAAATTATCACATTTTGTTCAATAATTATTCGTATGCATATATGAACAATTTTTGAAACATTCATCAAGTTTAAATTTTTATTTCTCTTTTTGAAAAAAAGAAAAGAAAATTATGTTATTTGGCTCTCGTTTTACTTTTCAGTAGCAATATTATTGTAATTGATAGAAATAATATTTAAAATCGAGAAAAAAGCTGGAAAATTATAAATGTGGGGAAAACCCAATTGAAGGAGGAGAATTGAAAAAAAATCCTCTCAGGATTAAAATTCTCCGCGAAGGTTATAAGAGAGTCGAACAATTCGTCAGGAGTAAAAGTTCCATTTAATTCTCGCCAATTTCTTTTAATCCACATTGTGGAAAGTGAATTACATTGAAAGCGTCTGAGTCTTGGCCGGAGGTGAATTTTAATCGTGAAATTAATCTTTAAGCGCAACTGAACTCTATAATCGCGGAAGCTTTTTTTTTCTTTTAAAAAAAGAAAAGAAAAATCCCCTTCGTCTTTACTCGACAAAAAACATGCTCGTTTAGACTTTATTATCAAAAATTTATTTCTTTTCTCCCTTTCCTCCCAATTTATAGTAATAGTTTGTATATACAGTATGAAAGTTTGTAACTTTTGCCCCATGTTTCATTAAAAAACAAATGTACACACCTCTTTTCCTAAAATATTCTGCCGGTCGTTGATAATAATCCAACCCATTCGCCAGCCAGGTACGAGAAACCTACACAGAAAAAAAGAGGGAAATAAAAAGAAAAATTGTAAATATGCGAGAAAAATTTATGTTATTGCCTACGTTGACCCCATAGTCTCTGGGGCCAAAGAGAAAGTAATTAAAAAAAAAAACTTGTCTACAATTCTCTTTTTTGAAATATTGCAATTTTTTATTTTTATTATTGTTATGTGTATTCTTCAAATTCATAAAAATTAATTATTTTCGTTTGGATTTTACCTTTTTTTTTAATCGATAGAACTTTAATTACCTTTTGGTCAAGCCACTGCAGGATAATATCGGAACTTCCGTTGATAACGATGCCAAAGAATAGTATTTTCGTCCGGGAAAAACCTGCCGGGAAACGAAGTTAATTAAATAAGAGTTTTTTGTTGTATTTTTCTCAATACATTTTCTTAGTTTTATAAACAGCGACTTATAGATTAAAAATTGACAAATTTTTTAAAAGAAAAATATTAATGTCAAGGATTAAGAAATTATTAAGCATTTTTAGTTATTCGTTCTTAAATAATTAATGAAGAATAAATTATTAATTTATTTGTCGTTAAGTATTTATTAATTAATAAATAATTGAGTTAACATTTATTTAACAGTTATTCAGCAATTACTAAATTGTCAATAATTTAGTAATTATTAATTACTCATCAATTACTAAATTGTTAATAATTTAGTAATTATTAATTATTCATCAATTACTAAATTGTTAATAATTTAGTAATTATTAATTACTCAGCAATTGTTAATTTTTAGTAGTTAATTATTTATTGATTAATAAATAATTGAGTAATTGATAATTTATTAACTATTCAGTAATTATTTATTTACTAGTAGTTAACTATTTATTAATTAATTAATAATTATGTAGTTGTTAATTTATTCATTATTCAGCAATTATTAATTTACCAGTAATTGCCTTTTCATTTATTAATAAATTATTATTGATTAATTAGTTACTTGCCATTAAGAAATTTATGTCCCATTTTAAATAAATAATTTAAATTGAAATAAATATAATTTTAAATAATTATTTATTCAGTTGTCATTAAATGATTATTTAATTAACATTATTTAATTATCTAATTAAATAAATAAATAATTGACACTTATTAGTTGACAATTAACAAATAATAATAACAAAAAGTTAATTAGACAACAAATTATAATTAATTAATTAAAATGTTATTTATGACAAATAATATAATTAAATAATGACATTTAAATAATGAATTCTATTTAAATAATTATTTAGTGTCAATAATTAAAAAGCGGAGAGTGTAAATAAAGTTAATGTAAATGAAATAATTTTTTGACACTTAAATAAGTGTCAATAATTAACTAAAAACTTAGTGACATAATTGGTTGTCTAATTATGAGTAATTAGTTGTCTAATTGCCAATTACTGATAAATTCTTGTTATTAAATCATTTTCTAATTGTCGCTAATTATTAATCAGAGTGGAATTAATTATTTGATTTAAGTAAATATTTTTTCGATTCAAACAAAAATTATTTGATTTAAGGAAAATTATTTTATTCAAGTGAAAAACAGTTGATTCAAGCAAAATAATATCTGTTAATGTATAACTGTCTAATTAAAATTCGTTATTTGTCTAATTGGCTTTAATTGATTATCTAATTTGAATTCCTAAATTGCTTCAAATGGTATTATTTTATTTATTTATAAATTTATTTCTATTTATAAATACAAATAAATAAAAATTGGCATTAACTAATTTGAAAAATTGTCATTTATTAATTACCTAATTATCAATTAATTAATTATTTGATTAATTGAATAATAAATTATTTATTTATTGAATTATTTAATTAACATTGGTCAATTATCGAATTGCTTTAAATGATAATTTTATTTCTCTTTTAAGAAAATGAATTTAAGTAGAGTAATAATTATAATTAATTAATTAATTAATTAATTAATTAATTAATTAAAAATAAAGTAAGAAAGAAATAGTACCATGTGTTCGTATATTTCATCGGCAATAATTGGCACATAATATTTGGCAGCAATGTCAAGAATATCGAGAAGATGATTTTTACTAAAAACTGAGCCACAGGGATTCGAGGGATTATTTACAATAATTGCAGCAGTCGATTCATCGATTTGCGATTCTAAATCGTCGAGATCAATTTCCCAGGCACGATCGGGCTAAAATTAGAATAATAATAAATGATAAAAATAATAATAATAATAATAAAAATAATAATAAAAAAATTAATAATGATAATAATTATGTCATGAAGTATAATAATTATAGAATTTAATATTAAGAATAATATTAATATATTATAATATTAAGAATAATTGTTTATGAAAATAATTGAATTTTGAAGAATTTTTTATTTATAAAGAAAATAATTGAAATTTTGTCGAGATTTTTTTGTAAATTTTGAACATAATTGAATTTTGTGATAAGAATTTTATCACTTTTGAATATAATTGAATATAATTGAATTTCTCCAATCATTTGTTACTTCTTCAAAATTCAACTTTTTTTTAGTGTTATTAACTAAAATTCTTCTGTAAATCCATTATTTTTAATAATTAATTAAATATTGACAAATTTAACCAATTTTAGAAGATTTTGAATTATTAAAATTTTTCAAAAATCTAAGTTCATTAAAATTTCTAATTAAATTCATTCAACATTGAAATTTTATAAAATTTCAAATTGAAACCATTTGAAGTTGATTTATTTATAAAAATTGTAAACGCAACTCTTTTAGAATTGAATTTATTTTGAAAAATTTGAGTAAAATTATTCATTAAAATTTATTTATTTTTAGATAGTTGTTCAAGAATTAAGTTATTTATAAAGAAATTTTGTCAGAAATTTGAAAAAATTGAAGGTTTTCGATTAGAATTCGTGGTAATTTTATACTTTGAGTCAAACAAAAAAGACAAAAATTTAGAATTTTCTTATGAATTCTAAAAATTAAATTTTTTCACTACTTTTAATAAATATTCTTGACTTTTCCCTGAATTCCCAATGTCAGAATATGTGATTATTATAATTATAATAATATTAAATATATTCGAATTCATATTTTATTTTTATAGAAAAAAAATTTGAATTAAAAATTAAAAATTATAATTTAAAATTAATTAATTAATTATAATTTAAAATATAAAATTTTTATGTTCTATTATTTTTAAAATTGCTAATTTTATTTAAAAAAACCGAGTGAGAACTCAGCCGCACGCTTGCTAGTTTAATTTAATTATCAATTTAATTAGCAACAGAAGGCTATTGACAATTAAATTTTGGTCATTTACATGTATAATGTTTGAAAAGAAAAATACAATACCCCAAAATGGTTCTAGCATCAATTGTTAATGTAATGAGATTTCCCGTTCAGATATACATATATATTGTGCGAGAATAATAGTGAATGTAGTAATTTGACGACATACATATATATATGTATATATAGAAATGCTCACCCTTAGATTATAGGATCTCACTGTAATTCCAAGACCCTCGGCGAGTGTTCGATATATCGAGAAACCCGGTTTTGGAATTAGTATATTTTGTCCTTCACGTGCCACTGCTGTAATACAGAGATCCAGAGCGCACGAACATCCACTACAAAGGATTACATCCTATAAACATTTTCCTATTTTAATTTCACTTCATTCTTTTTTATTCTTATTATAATAATAATTCTAGTTTTTTTTAAAAAATTATTATTCAGAAAAAGAAATTTTTTTTATCAAAATTTAAAAAAAATTAATTAAGTAGGGTAGGGTGGGGCATTACTATTCTTGTTTGGATTTTTGAGTCTATAAAATGTATATAAAAAAAAATAAAAAAATGAGTAGAACCGTTTGAAAGCTTGACTTCTTAGCTACAATTTTGCCATGTATCATTTTGCTGTAACTCGATTCTGTTCCGAACTACAGCGATTTTACGAAAAAAAAATTTTTTTGATGTCGAAAAAAACGAGGGGCGTAACTATTCTTGCAGCTATTAATGATATAATACTAAAAAAATATATAAATTAATTTGTTAATTGGAGGATTTTTTCTGGTTTTTTTCTTCCAATTTCTTACAATTCTAACCTAGAAACAAGCACACACAAAAAAATACACTGTTTTGTAGTTTTTGCTGTCATCAGTGGAAGAATAGTTACGCCCCATCCGCCCATTTTTTGAAAAAACACTTGTAAAATTTTTGAACAATAGAATATCAAAAATCCATTATGATATTCGTGTTCAGCACTAAATTTGACTTTAGAAATAATTTTTCCGATAATTTTTCCGACCGTTTATCACTATTTACAATGGCAGACTAAATGAGTGAAAACAAGTAAGCGAGTATATCAAAATCACATTTGGGTACCGAACTCCAATGATAGATGGCGCCAGAAGCTCAAATGTGGCGTACAATGTTCATTTCACATGACAAGTATACAGTGTAAAAAAAACTTTAATCGGATGAATAGTTTTCTCTCCAGGACAAAGAATAGTTACGCCCCGCGAATAGTAATGCCCCACCCTACCCTACATAATTAGTTTATTAAACTAATTAATAAACAGGGTTTCTACAAATTAATTTTTTTTAAATATTTAAAAATAATTTTTGAACGATAATAGTATTTCAATTTTGAAGAATTTCCAAATTATTAAAATTTGGTAAAATCTTTTAAAAATAATTGAATTTTTGAAAAGTATAAATAAAAATGATGAAATTTTTGAAGAATTTTAATTATAAACAGGACCATGATTTCTTAAAAATTTTAATAAGTCCAAAGAATTTTTATATAATTTAAAAAAAACTAATGAATTTTAATTAAAAATTTCGAACATTATTGTTTTCTCCCAAAATGTTAAAAATAATTATAAAATGTTATTATTTTTGGAAATATGTAATTGAAAATATGAAAAATATTGAATTTTAAAAAATTAGTAGCTAATTTTCATTTTTAAATTTACCTTTAAAGATTTTTCATTAAAATTTTTGATAATTCAATTATTTTCAAAATTTGCAATTGAAATTCTTCAAAAGTTGATTTTCAAAAATTGTAACAAAATACTTGAAATAAATTAATTGGTTTCAATTAAATTTTACAAAATTTCAACTGTTCAAAAACAAAAACAAAAAATATCTATTATTGTTATTGTAAACAGTAAGCAAAAAAAAAAGACTCTCAAGAATCTCAAGGGAAATAAAATAGTTTGATTAGTTAATTAGCGAAGATTTTATTTATCGAATATTTTTAGTATGCAAATTTTTTCTAAGGATCCAAAATCAACTTTAATTTATCGAATGTTTAATTGTTAAGAGATGACTGAATTATTATTATTATTAATCTTTAGATTTTTCTTCTTATTATTATTAAATTTTGTAAGAATTGTTCTCATGGTTTCTTTGAACAAATAAAAGAATTCTAATTCTAATTCTAAATTTAATTTAGATTTAATAAAAGGGTGTTTTTCTTTTTTGTGAGCCCGTATAAATTGTTAAAAAAATAAATAAAAATAAATAATAATAATAAAAATAATTAATAATAATAAAAATAATAGTAATAATAATAATAGTAATAATAATGATGTTAATAATAGTGGTTGTTGTTATAATTACATAATTGCGAGTTGTATGCGTTTAATCTTAATTAAAAATCAGAAAATGAAATTCGGAAGTTTAATTAAAATTTCAACTCGATTCAGATTTTATAAAATGAAAAAGCACGTTTCGGTTTGTGTCACTGAAAGTAACAAGGTTCGCGGCAGAAAACGATTTTCTCATCAAATTTCATTTTCAAAGGATTAATAGCTTAACCGACTTTCTATTCACACCAATGTAAACGTATAGATGAGAGAGAGAGAAAAGGGAATAAAGAAAGAGAGAATGAGACGTTATAGAGTAGTTATAATTCAGGGAGAGTCGAAAATGAGGACTTGAGATAAGCTCACAAACTATATACTTCCACTGTAAGTAGAATAAATCTCCTTAAAATCTACAAAAAAAAAAAAAATAAAAAGAAAGGAAAAGAGTAGAAAAAACTGAAGAAAGGGAAAAAATCACCTTTCCTTTAGTGAGAGACTATTCTCTTTAGAAATTACACTTTATTAAGTCACTAATTAATTTATCGTATGATGATTAATTTATTTATTGTATTTTTTCAGTAGTTCTGTTAATTTTAGAACTAGCTTGAGAAAATTTGACTGAATTTATTGTCATCCTATAAAAACAGCGAGAAAAAATTTATTTGAGTCGAATAAACGACTAATTGTCTTGCATCAAATAAATATTTACTTGAATCAAATAATTTTTACTTGAATCAAATAGTTTTTACTTGAAACCAATAATTCTTCTTGAATCAAATAATTTTTGCATGATTCAACTATTTTTTTACTTTAATAAAATAATTTTTGCTTGATTCAACTAATTTTTATTTGAATCAAATAGTTTTTACTTGAATCAAACGATTTTTGCTTAAATAAAAAAATTTTGCTTGAATCAAATAAATGTTGATTGATTCAATTATTTTGTACTTTAATAAAATAGTATTTTCTTGAATCAAATAATTTTTGCTTGAATCAACTATTTTTTACTGGAATCTAATAGTTTTTACTGCAATCAAATAATTTTTGCTTGAATAAAAAAGTTTTGCCTGAATCAACTGTTTTTTACTTTAATAAAATAGATTTTGTTTGAATCAACTAAATATTTACTTGAATCAGTTAATTTTTGTTTGAACTATTTTATTTGAACTTTTTTATTTAAATCAAATAATTTTTGCTTGAATCAACTATTATTTCCTTGAATCAAATAATTTTACTAAAATTAATTAATTTTTGCTTGAATGCAAAAAATATTTACTTAAATCAAATAATTTTTGTTTAAATCAAATTTTATTTACTTGATTCAAATAATTTTGCTTGAATCAATTATTTTTTTACTTTAAAAAAATTGTTTTTGCTTAAACCAACTAAATATTTACTTGAATCAAATAATTTTTGCTTGAATCAATTATTTTTTATTTGAATCAAATAGTTTTTACCTGAATCAAATAATTTTGCTTGAATCAACTAAATATTTACTTGAATCAAATAATTTTTTTTTCAACTATTTTTTATTTGAATCAAATTTTTTTTTAGTTTGTAATCGACATTTAATTTCAATGTTTGGACATTTTTATTATTTACTTTTATTCTAATAATATAATATTTATTAACTAATAAATTATTAATAATAAAATATTATTAATTAATAATAAAATTTTATTAATTAATAATATTTACTATTACTATTATTAATAGTAAATTATTTTTCCTAATATAAAATACAAAAACAAAAAAAGTGGTTTTTTCTGTTTTTGTTGTACGTAAACAGTTTATGGAAAAAATTGAATTAGAGAAACAATTATCAAATTTATTACGTAAAATTAGTTTTAACATACCTGAGGATCCACTTTTAAAAATTCATTTGAACTGTAATGAGCAACCGCCTCTCGAGCTTCTTGATAGCCTTGGAAAACAACAATTTTACATATAAACAACGTGTAATGTTTACAGTTTTTTTTTTATATTTTTCAAAAGTGGAAAATTCCAGGAAATTAGTGTTTTTGTTTTTTGTTTGTTGGTTATCTTTTATCGTTAAAATTTTATTGAATTTAAAAATAAAATTACCTGTACAGGGCGCATATCCATTATATAATTGCGAGCTAACACTTTCTTGAACTGCCTCAATGACCTCTTTTGCGGGTTTTAAATTCCCAAACGTCGTTGGATCACCTGTTAGCGTATTTCTAATTAGTAACTTAAGAAAAATCAATTTGTGTGAAATTTGTTTCATTAGAGAATATAATTTAAATAATAGTTTAAACAGTTTTTGTAAATTAGGTTTTAATTAGTGGACAACTTTTTAATTTACTAATTAATAATTATTTGGACTAATTCGAATAAGTGGGAATTTTTACTAATTTTTAGTATTGAAATTTTACTATTTTATTCGTTGTTTAAAATTTTTTTCTTCTAAAGTTTGTAGTAGAATTTTTTCGTTTTGTAGTTTTTTTTTCTTTTTCTTTCTATAGTTTCAGAAAAAAATGACTAAAGTTAGTAGAAAGTTTTGCCAAATTTAATTAGCTAGTGAATTTTTTGAGAGTTTTATTAATAATAATAAAAATATTTACTAAGTAATAATAATAATAATATTTACAAAAATATTAATAATAATAGGAATAAAAATATTTGCAACAATAATAATAATTAGAATAATAAATTTGATAAAGTAAATAATAAAAGTTTATATGAAAAAAAAATAAGAGAAATAAAAATATGAATTGTAAAGGAAAAATAGAAAACTTTGAACTTTTAGTGCAATCATAAGAATGAATGATTGATTTTTCATTATAAAATTGAATTAAGTTTTAAAACGAATTGAGTGCTAGTTTCTATTCACAAACATCGAGTTAACATGCACCAAATTTTGAAGAATATATGTTCTGAAATTGAATTCAAGAAGGTCTATCAGCCACTAATCCAAACCTAGATTTTCCTCTCAAATCCATCCAACGGCTAATCGAAAATTCATTTCTCATTTTCTTGCATCGAGAAAGCCTGATGCTAATGAAAGCTCTCAAAGTTCAAAGTTTAATTCGAAAATCCCCCTAAAGCGCTTTATAAATCGATTTCTTCCAAATTTAACAATATTGTTTTTGTTTTATTTTTAATTTTATTCGCATTCGAACAAATAAAAGAAAAATATTCACTCTTTAAATAACGTGTGCTCTCAACTTGAAATTTGTTTTTACAATTAATAAAAATAATTAAAATAAAAATACACTGAAACAAAATTTATTTAATTAAAGTAGATTACTTGTTTGTTGTCAAATAAATATTTACTTGAATGGAATAATAATATTTACTTGAATCGAATAATAATTTTTACTTGAATCAAATAAGTCTTAATTAAATCAAATAAATTTCACAAAACATTAAATTTTTTCCATCTCTGACAATAATTTTAAAATTCTTCCCAGAAATTCAATTATTTTCAAAAATTTTTAAAAAGTTCTCGTCAGCATTTCAATTATCTTTATAAATATCAAAATTCTTCGCCAATCTTGAATTTTATTCAGGAATTTTAATAAAATTCATTATAAAATTCAATTATTTTCATAAATAACAATATTCATCACAAGAATTCAATTATTTTCAAAATTAATAAAATTCATCGCAGAAATTTAATTACTTTCAAAAAATCATAAAAAATTGTCGTCAATATTTCAATTATCTTTATAAATGAGTAGCAAAATTTTTCGACAAAATTCAATTATTTTTAGGAATTTTAATAAAATTCATTGCAAAATTCAATTAATTTCAAAAACATTTATTAATTCAATGATTTTCAATGTTCTACTATTTTAATAAAATTTTTAAATTCTTTTCAGGGATTTATTTATCATACACAACAATATTCATTACAAGAATTCAATTATTTTCAAAAGTAATAAAATTCATTGCAACAATTATTTTCAAAAAATTTTCTTAATTCAATAATTTGTATATATCTATTATTTTAATAAAATTTCCTAAAAGAATTCAATTATTTAAAAGCAATAAATTATCTGTTTTTATTTAAATAATTTAATTCTCGTAGAATTTTTTAATAAAAATTGATTTAAAAATTAATTTCAGTAAAAGTTTTAGATAATAATTGCATTTGAGAGAAGTTACTAATGATTTCATTTTTGAGAAATAATTGAATTTTATAAAAGTTTCAAATTAAAATCTTTAAAAATTTGAATTTTTCATACATTTAATTAAAAATTCTATAAAACTAATTTTTTTCAAAAAGCTTAATCGAAATTTTTTAAAATTATTTCCACTTTTTATTTTCTAATGTACATTTAATTGAAGAATTTCCAAAGAATTAAAATTTCACGTAAAATTGAATTGTAAACAAATGATTTGAAAATTCTCATCAGAACTTTATTAAAAAGTTATAAAAATAATTGATTTAAAGAAGAATTTTATTTAAAAATTGTAGAAAGTAATAATCATAATTCCTATGGAAAAATAATAACCTAATTAAATATTTATTTGAAAAAGAAGTTATTCGTGTTTTTGAATAATTTTACAATGAATAAGGAATTTCGTAAATAAATATTTGCATTAAATAATTTCAATATTTGAATCAAAAATTTTTTTTCTTTAAACAAATAATTTTTACCTAAAATAAATAATAGATTTTACTTGAATTAAGTAATTTTTACTTGAATCAATAAATTTTTGCTCGCATCAAATAATTTTTGTTTAAATCAAATAAATTATATATTTGAACCAATAATTTCAGTATTTGAAGCAAGTACATTTTAAGTAATTTAAATAAATATTATTCACTGCAAAGAAATATTTATTTAATAATAAACTAATCGTTTTTTGAATAAAATAAATTTCTTTTTCAATGTATATGATAATGAAAATAATAAAAATTAATAATGAAAATAATTATAGGAATAAAAATAAAATTAAGAAAAATAAAAATAATTATAGTAAAAATAATGCAATTATTAAATAAATCATTTAAAGAATAGTAATTTTCTTGTAGCTTACCAATAGAAAGTGCAATCATTTTTTTATTGGGATTAGGATCGACAACAATATTTTCCACAATAGATCTTATTGGATTGTGAGTTCTCTTTGCAATATTCGACGCCAGTACGCGCCATTTTTCTCGCGAACTACCAAAATTATTAGACATCTTGGAATAAAAATGAAATTTTCAAAATTATTCCTAATTTTGAAATATTTATTCCAATTCTCTTAAATAGAAGAATTTAAAAACCTTTTCTCTTTTTTGCTTTCGCACTTTTTACAATTTTTTGTAATAGAAGCCCCCGTTTGCAATACAAAATAAACTTGTTCAAAAAAATTTTTTTTTCTCTATTAAAAAATCGAAGAGAAAAAAAAATTGTCACAAAAATAAATTGTTGATAATCGAAATTCAAAAAATATTTTGTGAATTTTAATATTAAAAAAACAAATAAACACAATCGAAAAAAAATTAGTGTAAATATATATAGGAAGGTTGCTTTCTGAATACTAAACTAAAAGTCTAGATGAGCGAGATCTTGAAATACTGGATGCTAGAAGGAAAGAATGAGGGGAAGATTTTGATTGGTCGGTGGGTTCCACACCTTCGCTTTTTTTTCTCTTAATAATTAATTACATACTGAATTTTAAACGATAAATTCTGTGTTCTGGTATAAAGGAAAAAAACAAACATTACGCATGACGCAGAAAAGAGGTGTGATAATGTTAAGTAGGTTCAAGCCTCCAGTTTCAACCAATCAGATTCCTTGTAATAAAAATCAAAAATTTCTTTGGAATGTTGAATCCCCCACCCATTGTCTCTTGCCTTTCTTTTTTTTTACACTTATCGTCCATGGATGACTAGTAATTTTTTCAGATGTCATAATTTACCTGTTATTTTGTATTTCTTTGATGTCCTTTCCTCCCTCATTTTCTTGTAATTACCCTCTTCCCCCCCTTTCCCCCCTTCGAACCAAGAGAATGAAATTATTAAAATTGCAATAAATTGAATCTTGGAATATTTTTTCAAAATTTAGTAAATAAATAATTTTTTATTTCTCTATTAATATTTATTTATTTGTTTACTATATATATATATTTATTTGAAAATATGCAATTCATCAGCTATTCGTAATCAGATTTATTTTATTGTTATTTCTTTATTTTATTTTTATTTATTTGTTTATTATATTATTTTTAATTTTTATTTATTATATTTTGTTATTAACATATTTACTTTGTTTTTATATTCATATTTCTTTCAAAATAAATAATTAATAAATAAATTACTAGTCTCGTTTATTAACAAATAAATAACACAAATAATAATAATAACAATCATTGTTAATAATCTAATTAATTGTATATTTATTTAATTTCTATTCATTTGTTTATTACGTTTATTTGTTATTATTTATTTATTTCAAAATATGCGGTCATTGAACTTTTCTTATTTTTATTTTGCTGTTTATTGAATTAACTTTTTAATTATAGGTATTTTTTTTATTGATTATATTTATCTAAATGTTCATTTAAAAATAAATAATAAAAGTAGTTTTAATTAATGGTAAATTTTTTTGAAAATAAAAACAGAAAAGTTAATAAATAAAAAAAAAAAAAAAAAAAAGCTCTGTAAAGAAATATTTTTTTACTAAAATTTGTTTCTATTATTATTATTATTTCATTTTTTTATTAATTATTATTTTTATTGTTATTGTTGTTCTTGTTATATAATATAAATAATAAATAACTATAAATATAAATCTCAATGCAAAAAAATAATTACAACTTTATAAACATTTATTTATTCTTGATTTCATGATGTCAAACGCATTTTAATTTTTGTTTAATTATTTTTAAAATAAATGTGAAAATGAAAATTTAATTTCCGCTCTATTGGAATTTCCAGATGAAAGAATTATTTAATTGAAATTTTCATGAATTGTATTAATGCAATAACTAATAAATATTTTTATGATAACAAATAAAAGTTACAGAGCGGTTTTTCCTTTTTTTTTTTTTTTTTTTTTTTTGAAAACTTTTAGTTTTTTTTCTTGTGTTTTCTCTAAAGTAATTTAATGGTTTCTTAATATATTTTTTTAATTAGAATTTTATTACCATCACTTTTTATTATGCTATTTGTAATATTTCCTTTGTCATTTTACATTAAATGACACATTAAATGTTTTTTTAATTTGTAAAATTTTTTTTATTCGTACCTTTTTAAAATAGGAATCAATGATGTAAGTGCACTCATGAAAATCGTGATTGGAGAAATATTTTTCTCTCTGATAAAAAGAATAAATAAGTAGGTATGAGGCAAGATTTCCATTTATTGACAGGAATTTTGAAAACAATATAATAAACGAGTTTTTGTTTTTTTCAGAGTATTAGATGTGAATAAAAATATGTAATATAATAGTAAGATTATTGTAAAGAAGGAATAATATTTGGGAATTTAAATTTTAAAGTATTTTCAACTGTTTCGCAAAAAAAAAAAATTTAACATAAACAGTTTCTGCTGATGAGACGCAAATAAAACTGGTTTTACTGATTTTTAATTTATTGCATCTAATTTTGAATTAGAATTCGTGAAACTAAATAAACTTTTTTAAAATTTAATTTCGAAAATTAATTTTTTGTTTGATATAAAAAATATTTTTTTAATTCAGAACAATCGTGGAAATGTCAATAATTTATTTAGTTGTATAAAAAATAAAAACTAAAGTAAATTTTATTTCCTTAGGCCAATAATATTAATATATAAATAATTTATAGCAAATAAGTTTACAAAATTTTTTTTGTCACCGCTTTCAATTTTAAATTTTTATGCGAAAAAAATATTTTGAATACACCATAGAAATGCGCTAATTAAAAAAATTCAATCTTGATTGATGAGTGGTAGCGTCACCAATGGACACGACGTAAACATTGAATTCACTCGAATTTCTAGTCGTGTTCTCTCATTGACAATTCACATTTGCATACCAGCAGTGACAAACTGACTGGCGTCGTCCAGGCAATACCAGCATCACAAATAGATGCAAACAATGTTTCCTTGTAAAATAACAAACAATATTTTTTTCTTTTTCAAAAAACAATATAGTGTTTTTTAATGAAAAATGGAGAAATTAATTATTTCTCATTTTACATGTGCAAATATTGAATAAAAAAAATTTACGAGTTTAGGAAAACAAAAACATTACAATTTAATATTCCATTCTCTTGGTGAGATAAATATTATTTTTATCCTCTAGAGAAAATATATTTTTATTAATAATTACAAATTTCATTTGATCTGAATTTTATTTAAATTTATTTTAAATTTTATTTACCAAAACTTTATTCAAATTTTGTTTAAATAAATTTTATATAAATTGTACTTGAATCAATTTTATTTTAATTGTACAATAAATTTTATTTAAATAAGTTTCAATCAAATAAATTTTATTAATCATGTTAAATTAATTTAAATCAATTGTATTATTTAATAACATTTTTAATTAAAATTTAATTCAATTAATTTGTACGTTATTGAAATATTTTTATTTGATTCAAATGAATATTATTTCAATTAAAAATATTTTATTTGACTCAAATATTATTCAAATTTTTGGTTTATCAAAAAATTTATTAAGAAATTAATTTAATTAATTTAATTCGATTAAATTCATTTAATAAATTTAATTCGACTAAATATTATTTAAGTGAAAATAAATATTTTATTCAAATGCATAAGTTTAATTTTATTTGACTCAATGAAACTTTATTTCAATTTTTGATTTTATTATCGAAAAATTCACTGTTAAATACAAACTCGATTCAAATAAATATCATTTTGTTCCGAAGAAATTTCAATTTAATTAAAACAATTTTATGTAATTGAAATAAATTTTTCTTGATTCAATTTCAAATATATTTTAATTAATTTTCAATTTCTTGTTAACTTTTGTTTAATTTAAATTAATTTTATTAAATCAAAAAATAAATCTTTATTTTATTCAAATAACATTTATTTAAATACAATAAAATTGTTTGTATATCAAGTAAAATTTATTTTTATTAAATAACATTAATTTCAATCAAGCAGATATTTTTCTTTAATTTAATAAAACTAATTTAAATATTAAACAAAAGTTATTAGAAAAACGTTAAAAAATAATATTGTCAATTTAAATTAAAATGTTATTTAAATGAAATAAAATTTTTTTAATTGAAATAAATTTTAATTAAAATGAAGTTTGTTTAATTAAAAAGACTTGTTTTGAAATTAAAATTAATTTTGATTAATCAAAGAAATTTTTGTCAGATGCAAATAAGTTTTATTTAATTAAAATAAATTTCGATTTAAAATAAAGAATAAAATTGTAAACAATTTTATTTTGAAATAAAAGATTTTTGTATGAAAATATTTATTATTTAAAATTGCAAAAACAAGAAAGGGACAAACAAAGAAATTCGTTTTGCTATATAAAATTATTATAATAAAGTAAACAGATTTTTTTTATTTAATAAAATTAAATTCTAAGCAAAGTTATCAAGGAAATTAATTGTTAATTTATATTAAAATGCCACTTTATTGAATTAAAATTTTTTTAATTGAAATAAATTTTAATCAAAATAAAGTTTGTTTAAAAAATAAAATTGAAACAAAATTTGTTTTATTTTAATCAAAATAAATTTCGAATAAATATTTTTCAAATAAAATGCGAGGAAACTTTTATCTGATTTAAATAAATTTTATTCAATTGAATTAAATTTTGATATAATATAAAGAATAAATTTTCTCAAATAACAGATTTTGGAATTCAAATTAATTTCCTAATAAAAATTAATTTTTGGAAATAAAATATTTAGAATGATTGAAAATTGAAAAAAAAACAAGAAAGGGACGAATAAAGAATTTCGAATTGCTAAAATGTCAAAATATAATTTTATTGACTATGTAGCAAAATACCTATTTATTTAAATATTTGGCGTCACGCAATTACCAGACTAAGATCGTTTACATTAATATACAATATGTAAATGTGCCATATTGAATATGGGCAGTGTCTGTGGTAGTACGATATAAATGATCTTTGATCTCTTAATACGACTTTTTTTTATGATATAAATATGTATATATATATATATATTATTTTACATGTTAAGTAATATTCTAGGCACTTATTGGTACAAATTATTAATTAAAAAATAGAATGAGAATCGAGGAAAAATGGCAGCGAATTTGGGAGGGAAAAGAGAATGAGTCAATTTTTTTTAAGGACTTGTATATTATTTCCGATATTAAGAGAAAAATTATTTCGTTTACTGAACGTTTTACTATTTATATTTTTTTACCATTTATACTTTTTTTTACTATTTATACTTTTTTTTTACTATTTATACTTTTTTTACTATTTATACTTTTTTTTACTATTTATACTTTTTTTACTATTTATACTTTTTTTTACTATTTCAAGAAAATTTAATCATTTGATTTATATTTATAATACAAATTTTTATTATTATCAATATCAACTGAAATTATAAATTACAAATGACTAATTAGAATCTGCTTTATTATTTCTCTCCTTAAAAATTCTCATTTCCCTTTGCCCTCCATTTTGGCGGGCAAATTATTATTTTTCTTAATAAATGTTTTTTTTTCTCTGAATTTAATTAATTATAAATTTCTTTTTTTTAATGAATTAATTAGAATAAAAAAAAATTGTTTACAATTTCTCATGTGTTTCTTATACACACGGCACATCGACTTATTCGATTTCGTAGATTTCCAGCTTTTATTGTCTCCTTTTGAGGCTTCTGGAATTGTTGATTGTCTTGGATTGTTGCCATCCAAAAACTGTACTCGTTGGTATAATAATGGCAGTGTCCTTTGGCACCGTTACATTCGATAAATGGAACTGCTCGGAAGTCCTCTAGACAGGATCCAGGACTAGATAAAGATTGTCCTCCACCCTGCGCTCCAGCGCCCGTGTGCTGAAAATAAATCAATCATTACTTTTTTTGTTCTTTCAATATTTTTGTATTTTTCTTTATATTTGCAGACTTTTTTTGTTTTTTTTTCTATTTTAATATTTTTATACTATCTCAATGTTCATTTTTTGGTAGAACTGTAATTTTTTATTTTATTGTTCGTTTCTTAGGTTCTTTAATTTTTTTGTTACTTTTTATCTTTTTTAATATTTTTATTATTTTATTTATTTTTTTGTTATTTTAATATTTGAATTATTTTCTTGTTTATTTCTTTAATGTTCTATTATTTTTTTTTTATAGTTTTTATCCTTTTTAATATTTTATTTATTTTTTCATTCCTCAAACAATTTTTTTTTTGTTAATTCAATATTTAAAATATTATATTAATAATTTTTGGTTTCTTCAATATTTGAATTATTTTATTATTTATTTCGTAGATACTCCTAATATTTTTATTTTTGATTTTTTTATTAATTTTTTGCTAGTTTAATCCTTTTGTTTATTTATTTATTATTTTTTTATTTTAATATTTATTTTTGTTATCTTTAGTATTTTTATTATATATTTTTTCTTCTTTAATATTTGAATTATTTGTTATTTGAATTCTTCGCTTATTTTTTATTATATTTTTTTATTTTATTTCGAAAAAAAGTGTATGATTGGTTTAAAAAAATTTTGACACTTGCCATTATGAAACTGTATCCAATCCAGAGATTGGACCAGCCATTTGGACAATCTGGAATGGCAGTTGATTGACTGTGGACCGCTAAGACACTTGCTGGCACTTCACATACGACACATCTGTAAAAAACAAAAAAATTTACTGTTATGAAATTCAGCTGAAGTAGTTTTTTCAATTATTGTCATTTTTTCTCGATAATACTGCAAAACATAGAAATAATAATAAAAAATAATAAGAATAATAGTAACAATAATTTATTATTTTTTTTAATTATTATTATTATTATTTTTATTAATAGTAATAATAATTTATTATTTCCATTATTTTTAAATTGAAGAAAACAATTCTTCATGAACCAAAAGTTAACTATTATTGTTAATATTATTATGTGAATGATAATTAAAATCATAATTAATTCATTAATTCCTGTAATTGATAATTGATTCATCAGCATAGCAGGATCTTGAAAAAACTCTTAAAAGTAGAAATAAACAATGAATAATTATTTAATTATTGAATGTGCAATTTAATATGATGATAAGAATTAAAGAAAAAGAAAAAAAATGCAATTCTGTCATTTTTCATCATGTGAAATACTTGACAATCAGGTCTCAATAACAAGAATGTTGTTTACATACCTGGAAATATATTCTTCAATGCCTGATTCTTCAACAGGCATCATTGGTATTGGACTATTGGTGGAGAGCCAATAAGAACGATCATTTCGACTTGCATAGTGACAGACGTCATTGACGTCGCAGAACAAGAACGGCATCGTCGAGAACTTTCTCACACACGAGCCAGCATAACCTGTTCCAAAGAAATTTATAGGACAAGTTAGTTTTATATAGGAACCAAAGACCCCGTGATTCTCTCCACTAATACCAGTATCACTCTCTATCGTCTCTTTAAAGCGCGTGCAATGGAAATCCTTTCAGCAAAAAAATCGAAACTAATAATCCTTGATTTATTTTTATTTTTTTCTCTTTTTTTGATTCATTTTTGTTATCAAAATATTTTCAATCTTGAAAATTCTGGTTCCTTTTTAAAATTTTAGTGGAAAATTTAAGAAATAATTAAATTGAACTAAAATTAGTTGAATGTTAATTTTTGCCAACAAACAAAAAGAAACCATTGAAATTGAAAATAGAAAAATATTCAGGAATGCAAATTTCCGCAAAGTGATCTTTTCATTTTACGAGAGAATATAATATATTCAATAAATAATTTATCAGGATTCTGAGAATTCTCCACCACCCGATGGTGAAACTCGTTTTTGAAATGATAGATTTTCAAAAGTAATTTGTTTTGAAAAAAAAACAAAAAGTATATCGACAAGTTTCATTTAGAAGGAATAATTTTCAATTTGATTTTTTAGAAAGATTTCCCTTCACTATTCCAATTAAAGAAAAGACAAACTTTAAAAACGAATTGAGAATAATATAAAAAAAATTAAAGAAGACTTGCCTAAATCTTGAGAATGCGCCCTTTCGTCCCCATCAGTAAATAAGAGACTGTATCCATCCCATAATTTGATATGTTCACGTTCGCAAGTTGGAACAGTTTGACTCTGACTGTGTTTGACTAATAAAATTCCAGTCAAATAATCTGGAGTAATTTCACAAGGTGCTCCTGCTTCGCCCTTAGAACCGGGGAATCCAGGCGAACCCGAAAGTCCAGCTTGTCCAGGGGGTCCATCTAATCCGGGTTGTCCGGGCAAACCAGGCGATCCTGGCGGACCAACAAATCCAGTGTCTCCCTTCGCCCCATCTCTGCCAGGGAAACCTGGTGGTCCAGACATTCCCTTCTCACCTGCCAGTCCGGGCATTCCAGGGGATCCTGATTTTTTATTATTAATTAGTAATGTTCGATTTATTTTACCTATTAATTACTGATAGTGATTGTCAATTTTTTTATTATTGTTTTTACCCGGATAGCCTCGATCTCCCTTTGGTCCAGGTGGCATTGTTTCGCAGTCGTCTCCCTTATCTCCCTTGATACCAGCGAAACCGACAGCTCCCATCAGTCCAGGTGAACCCGGATATCCAGCATCACCCTTTTCACCCGGGAAGCCTGGAATTCCGTCAGGACCATTCCAGCCTCGATCTCCCTTCTCGCCGGGTAAACCGTCCAAACCGTTCAATCCTGGAAAACAGAAATTCCATTTATTCAATTCTGAAATACCACTGTAAAATCTCAATTGGAGTTCTAAACTCACCAGCCACTCCTTGATCACCCTTTTGGCCAGGAACACCGAAAGGTCCCGGTGGTCCTTGATCTCCCTTAGGTCCCCTATCGCCAGAAAGTCCAGGCATTCCCTCAATTCCAGGAGCACCATCCCGACCGGGTAAACCAGGCGCACCGGATAATCCCAAATCACCCTTCTCACCCTGAGGACCCACTGGACCGTATGATCCACGATCTCCCTTATGACCGGGCAATCCAGGCAAACCTGACTCTCCCTTCTCGCCAGGGATTCCCGGGAAACCGTCCTTTCCGTGCTTGCCCAAACGACCAGGAAGACCCTTTTCTCCCTTTACGGTGACACCTGTAAGACCAGGAAGTCCCTCTGGACCGTGATCTCCTTTCGGTCCCAACGGACCCGGAGGTCCTGGATTTCCTATAAGACCGACTTCTCCTCTGTCTCCCTTTTCGCCCACGAATCCGGCAACTCCGTCAAAACCTCTGTCACCCTTCTGTCCAAAGTCACCCGGAAGACCCGGAAGACCGGGTTCGCCTTTCATTCCCTTGGTGTTTAGTGTCAGTCCCGGTGGTCCTCGATCACCCTTCTCTCCCTCTGGTCCCATATCTCCAAATGCTCCAGGTGGACCTTAATATTACCAATTAAAAATTACCTTCCCGAAAATAAGGAAACGATGTACTCTGTATTTTTTACTGTACAGGCAAATGCATATATGCTGTCCTTCCGCTTTGACGACGGAATCTTTCAAAATTCGTGACTTACTCTTACGTCATGAATTTACTTTTGAAAATGCCGTCAAACCAAAAGGACATATATGCGTTTGACTGTATATACAGTCAAGTGCATATATGCTGTCTCTTGAAACTACCTAATGGTCCTCTGTCTCCTTTGATGCCATCTAAACCAGGTTCTCCAGGAAGACCAACATCTCCCACCAGTCCCGGGAAACCAGGTGGACCCATCGGTCCAATCTCTCCATTATCGCCAGGCAAACCATCAATTCCAGGTGTTCCAGGTTCTCCAGGAAGACCCCCATATCCCTAAATCGAAACATTTTTACTAAAACGTTCCAACAATGAAAATTAGTAAATTAGGAATTCTATTACTGACAGTGTCTCCCTTTTGACCAACGAAACCACGAACGCCAGCATCGCCCTTCTCTCCCTGAAGTCCAATTAATCCTGGACGACCAGGTAATCCGGCATCACCTTTCACACCCGGCACGCCATCTCGTCCAAATATCACCAATCCCCTTTCGCCCTTCACTCCATCTAGTCCATCTCTACCAGGTGGACCCATAGGACCACGAATTCCAGGCATACCAACTTCTCCCTTTTGGCCCTTCTCAGAAACTTGACCTGGTTCTCCTTTTCTTCCCTATTTACAGAATTTTTTATTATTTTCCGATATAATTTAAATACCTTCATTGTTGAGAATGATATCAGTTTTTAGAGCAAAATACTTACAGGGAAACCAGGAGGACCATGATCTCCTTTCATTCCTTCGAATCCGTGAGGACCGTGTGGACCCGGAGGTCCTGGATATCCAACATCTCCTTTTAGTCCAGGCAGTCCAGGTCTTCCGACTTTTCCCTCAATTCCTGGCAGTCCAGGAAATCCGTAATCTCCTTTCGGTCCGGTCTCACCCTTCAAACCTGGACGACCCTCTTCGCCTGGAGTTCCTGGAAGACCAGGAGATCCTCTTCGTCCTGGATAGCCCTTCAGTCCGTCACTACCGAGTTCGCCTCTTTCGCCCTTCGCTCCGGGGAATCCGGGTAAACCTTCTCTACCCGATTCTCCAGTGAGACCAGGTTCACCTGGAAGAAAAATGAATTTATTTGAATAAAATGTCTAGAGACCATCCTAGGCTACAGCATTCCACGGGGGTCACCCAAAGTACGATGCTTAACCACCGTGATTGCGAGCTAAAGCTAAAACGACTATATTACCTTTAACTCCATCACTGCCGGGCATTCCCGGTACTCCAGGTGGTCCAACAGCTCCAACCGGCCCAGTATCGCCCTTGTCTCCAGGTGCTCCTGGTAGACCGTCCAATCCGGGTACGCCGCCATCCCCCTTCTCGCCAGTGAAACCTGGCAAACCGGGTGGTCCATCCGGCCCTTCTTTTCCAGGTGGTCCTGGAAGTCCTCTCTCGCCCTTTATTCCCTGCGGTCCTGGGAATCCAATGCTTCCCTTGACAGACACTCCGGGTTCTCCTTTAACACCTTTGGGTGCAGCCTGACCAGGAAATCCTCTAGCTCCCTCTTTTCCTGGTTCACCAGGGAAACCAAAGGGTCCCATGTTACCCTTGTCTCCCCTGGGTCCTGGTTCTCCTCTGGGACCAGGTGGTCCTGGTGGTCCAATTGATCCGGTAGCACCGATAAGTCCTTCGAGACCCATATCTCCCTTATCTCCCGATGGTCCATCTCTTCCCGGTGGTCCGGGTTCACCTTTCGTACCTTGCTCTCCTCGATCACCTTTCAGACCTTCCGTAATGTTGCACGGTGCACACTCACCTTGAAAATAAATTATAATTAATCGTCCGTCCAGCCAAACCCCTACGCTTCAATGCAACAACTCGTTCGACGCTCGAAAATTTTCCAAGCGTTGAACGAATTGTTGCATTGGAGCGCTCAATTGCCGCCGTAACGTACCAGCTTGTCCTTTGTCGCCAGGAAAACCTGGGTCACCTTTCATTCCGAAATAGCCATCCCGACCTGGTTCTCCAGGTTCTCCCTTTATGCTCAAACCTCTCTCTCCCTTCCACCCAGGAGCACCTGGTCTTCCAGCGACTCCATCCTGACCAGGAAAACCGCGATCTCCCTAAATGGATCAAATTCTCTTTTATAGTGAAATTGGAAGACGGATTACATTAGAAATACTAAAAGTAGTCCAGATTAGTCTAGAGTAGTCTAGATTAGTCTGGAGTAGACTAGATTAGTCTAGATTAGTCCAGAGTAGTCGAGTAGTCTAGAGTGGACTAAATTAGTCTAGAAGAAGACTTCATTCGAATACGTACAGGTTCTCCCTTAAGACCAGGGAATCCTTCGTATCCTTGTCTTCCTTTCTCGCCAATAGGTCCTTCGGGACCAAAGGGTCCCACACGTCCCGCATCTCCTCGAACGCCCTTGTCGCCCTTAATTGGTTTCAATGCATCTCTGGAAATAAATGCAGGTGTTCCAGGCTGTCCTTGTCCTCCAGGTGCTCCAGGCAAGCCATCTTTTCCCTAAAATCAATTCTATCATTGCAAAAAAATGTCATTTGATAATGGAGGACATCTATTCCAATGAAACTCACGGGAAAACCAGGTGGTCCTTGAAGTCCAGGATTTCCGTCTATTCCGGGTTCACCAAATGGTCCAAGTTCACCAGGTGGTCCTCGAAGTCCCGGAATACCTGGCGCTCCATCAAATCCTCTCTCTCCCTTGAGACCCGGATGTCCAGGTGTACAGTCTATGCATCTTCCGCCAATGTCACCCTTCTCGCCAGGAAGTCCCGGAAATCCGGGCATACCGTCTTTTCCCGATGTTCCAACTTCGCCGGGCTGTCCAGGCGCTCCTGGCGAACCTGGAATTCCTTCCAATGAATCGCCTGGACGACCTCTTACACCCTGATAACCCCTCTCTCCCTTTTGGCCCTTTCCACCGTCGTTGCCGGGTAGACCGTCCAATCCTTTGGGTCCCTAATTATTTGTTCCATTAGGAGGAAGTGATTAAATAAATATTTCTTGTTTGGAAATGTTTTGTTGATTCTTAGGTGGGTTAATCAAAAGAAAACGAAAATTGGGTGAAGAATCAATTAAAAATTTTTGACTCACTCAATTTTTGCTTCCTTTTTATTGAACAAGTTTAGGGGGCGAGGAAACTTACTATGATTGATAGTCCTTTTTCTCCTGGAGGACCTCGGAGTCCGGCTGGACCAGGAGCTCCGTCAAATCCACGTGATCCGATTTCACCTGGAAATCCAGGTAGACCAGACTCTCCTTTGTGTCCCTTTTCACCTGGGAGTCCTTCGGGTCCCGGAATTCCAGAGAGCCCAGGTCCGCCTTGTAAACCAATTGGTCCTCTCACTCCAGGTTCGCCAGGGAAACCATCGGATCCTCTGGGTCCCACTGGACCAGGGAAACCTCTTGGTCCCTTTTCTCCCGGGGGACCGGGTCGTCCTTTGCCACCCTAAAAAATAATTTATACACTTTACTTTTTACATTTTCTTCGATTTTTTATTTTTCGATCAGCCCTTTCCATGATTCTTTGACTCCTCTTCGAAATTCTTGATTCTTTACAGTGAAACTATTATTTCTTTCGTAAGATTTTTTGAAAATTAGTGATGATAGTACTCACTCCAGGTGGTCCTGGAGGTCCGCGAATACCGGAAATACCCATTGGACCATCATTTCCGGGATGACCTTTAGCTCCCGGACGTCCATCAAGACCTGGAAGACCATCGTAACCTCTGTCACCCTTTAAGCCAAGGGGTCCTGGAGGACCCGAAAATCCATCTCTGCCCTGGTGAATAAATAAAAATTGATTAGTTGGTAAAATTAAAATTTAAAGGAAGGAAAAAATTTGATTTTCAAGGGGAAACTCACCCGAACTCCTGGAACTCCAGGTAGACCTTTTTCACCCTTCATTCCGGCAGCTCCTGAAAGACCGTAATCACCTGGAGGACCTGCTTCTCCTCTTGGTCCCTCTGTACCTCTATCACCCTGTAAATAATAAATGTTTGCTTTACATTCCGGAAATCAGTGAATTCAGGAAAAAGTCAGAGAAAAACAAAGTTAAATTTTTGTGGCAACCCTGATAAAGTGGCAATTATTGCCCTAGGGCAATACAGTACGCATTATTACCCTAAGGTAATAATGGGCGAAATTTACCTTGCTTGTGGGTCAATAAAGTACTCATTATTACCCTAGGGCAATAATGGGTACTTTATTGACAAGCTGGACTATATGGAGAAATTTATGGAGCATGATTGTAATGAATGGAATGATTTTAATTACGAAAAAGGTTTAATTACTCGGTCTCCTTTTGGTCCCGGTTCGCCTGGTGATCCGACTGTTGTTTTCGTTCCGGTTGATGTCTCCAATTTTCCTGGAGGTCCCGGCGGTCCTCTTAGACCTTTATCTCCCTTTGGTCCCTCGAAGCCAAGACCCATGTGACCTTTTTCACCTTTTTGCCCAAGACTTCCTGGTAAACCCTGTATAACATTTTATTATCAATAAATTATCAAAATAGGAACTCAATATTTTTTTTTACAAATATTTGCTGTTAATCTTTATTTTTTGGAATCGTTGCTGAAGTTTATATAGCAACTGTTAATTTGAAATTAATTTTTTTTTCAATTTCGAATTTAATTTTTATTAATTTGAGATTAAGTAATTAATTAATTTGAAATTAATTTTTTTTTTCAATTTCTAATTTAATTTTTATTAATTTGAAATTAAGTAATTAATTAATTTGAAATTAATTAATTAATTTAGGAATTATAATGTACGCACGTATTGTCCACGTTCTCCTTTCGGTCCAGAAGGACCACGGAGTCCTTCTGGTCCTGGATTTCCAGGTGGACCGCGGACCCCGTCGAGACCTGGTTCACCCTTTTCTCCCACCGGAAATGGTCCTACGTAAGCTGGCGTTCCCTTTTCTCCTTTTGGTCCTGAAATTCCGGGTAAACCTCGCGGACCCGGTTCTCCATGACGACCATCAATACCCGGTAGTCCCTAAAAATTCCAATTAAAACACAAAATGGAGAGGTTAATTTTTTAATTAAATAAATTAAGTAGTAAGAAATTTAAATTTTAGAAAAATAATAAAATCTTACATCAGTTCCATTGCAACCATCGCGACCAGGTAAACCTGAATTTCCTGGTGGTCCTTGAACTCCTGGAACACCGTCGATTCCAGGGTATCCAGGAACTCCAGTCATACCCTAAGGATTAATTATTTTTGTTATTAATCACTCTTTGTAAACTTTTTAGCAATTTTTTAAAACTTGGATATTATCTGGTTTATTTAATTATTTTTTCAACGGAAAAAAAATTATTGATTGGAAAATCTATTTTCTAACTTAAAGACAATATTTCACGACTGAAAAAATTTTTTTCCAACCTGTTCATAAATTTTTCCGTCAACAAATATTTATTCCGTTTAGAAAATAATTATTTTCCAGTCGGACAATATTTATTTAAGTTAAATGATATATTTTCTGACTTAAAGAAAATATTTTACGACTGAAAAATACATTTTCTGACTTAAAGAAAATATTTTACGACCGAAAAATACATTTTCTGACTTAATGGAAATATTTGACAACAGAAAATTTATTTTTCAGTCTAAAAATAGTTTTTTTTAACTAATAAATAAATTTTTCAACGAACAATTATTTTTTTTTACTTATAAAATATTTCTTTTATCTAGTAAATAAATTTTCCGACCAAAAAAAAAATTTGTTTACTGTAAAAAATAATTTTCCGATAAAATTAATATTACTTTACTGAAAAAAATTGGTCTCATTGAAATAATAATTTCCCTCATGTAAAATATATTTTCCGACCGAAATAATCATCTGTCTGCTGAAGATTATATTTTCCGACCAAAATTATCATTTATCTACTGAAAAATATATTTTTCGGTTAAAAAAAATTGTTGATGACTGAAAAAAATTTTTCCTAACTCTAAAAAACCGTTTCCGACTTTTCAAAGAGAGAAAAAATTTTCTCAATTTATTAAAGGACTTCGTAATTCTGTGCCTTACTCGATCACCCTTATATCCTCTTGGTCCTTGAGGGCCGGGATCACCTTTATCACCTTTCTGACCAACGAGACCTTCTATTCCAGGAAATCCGGTTTGACCCCGAGGTCCTTGAATTCCAGAGGTACCAGGAGGACCCTAAAATTAATTATTTTTAATTATAATGCAATTATTTATTTATAATTAATTGTAGTGTAATTAATTATTAATTACATTGTAATTAATAATTAATAGTTAGTTATAATTAATTAGAAATTCTAATTTAATTGAATATTAATTATATTGTAATTAATAATTAATTATAATTTAATTAATTATTAATTCTAATGTAATGAAATATTAATTATATTGTAATTAATTAATAATTATATTGTAATTAAATATTAATTAAAATGTAATTAATTATTATTTAACAATTATTCAACGATTATTTTAATTATTAATTGTTTACACAATTATCTAAAATTATTGAAAAAAATTTTTTTTTATTTTCTTTTTTTTCTAAATAATTTCTGTCATCTTACTCGTGATCCCTTTTCGGCGTAGCATTTCGGAGCGCAATTTCCACCTCCTGTACAATTTTTTGCACCTCCGGGATGCGGATAGACCGCGTATCTTCCGCCGCCGTCTTCTCTTTCCGCTCCCGATGGTGAGTAACGATCTCGATCATATTGCGAAGAGCCTTGTTGACCTCGATGAAAATTTCGGTCATAAGTTTCGCCATAATTTCTCGAGTCTCCATATCCTTCTCTATTGTTATTGTAGTACGTTTGATTCCATGAGGAACCGCTATTGTATGATGTTTCGTAGTTCCTGTCGTTTCCATCTGTAGGCAATTTAATTTTTCAGTATTTATTTAAATAATTAATATTTTCAAGTATTTTAAAAATTATTATTAAATTAAATTTATATTTCCAATTGTTTATTACTGAATTTTTAATCCTTTTTTTTAATTTTTTATTAATTTTTTTATTTAATTACAAATTATGAAATTATTATAATTATAATTAATAGCAATTGTCATTAATAATTATTATTTGACTAATTGTTTGAAATTTCTGGCCAATTAAATTTATGTTTATAATTTTCTATTACTTAATTTTTTATCTTTTTTTATTTCTTTATTTTTAATTTTTTTTTTATTAAACAATTGTGAAATTAATTAATTAACCTTAATAATTTAAGGTTGTCATTAATAATTATTTTTTGACTAATTATTTGGAATTTCCGATCAATGTAATTTATATTTATTACTGTCAAACAAATTTCCATTGATAATTTTCCTAATAGCTATAAAAAAAATTATTGTTTATTTATTTATAATGATAAATAATAACCATCATAATCGTCGGGTTGTTCTTCTTCATAAGGCCGATATGTATCATCTTCATCCGCATTCGGAAGTTTCTCAATGTCACCTCTGTGTTGAAACCTTTGTCGATCCGATAAATTTTGCTGAAAAATAATTTTTTTCTGTTAATATTTTTTTTTTCTTCTTAAGTTAAGAGAAAATAGAATACAAAATAAATAAAAATACACAAAGAAATTATATTAGTGATAACGGAAATTTTTTTATTCATTTTTTTTTTTTTTTGTTCTTCTATACTAAAGAGGGGAAAATTTTTTCTAGAAATTAATCTACACTTATTTGTATAATGGAAACGAGGAATAAAAAGAACAAATTTCAAGCACATGTTGTAGATAAAATGTAAATGACAAATCTAAAACGATGACCTATGAACTTGATCGACCCTGCGTATAAATAATCTCAGTACAAAACGAGTTCGTTTCTTTAAATATATATTTATATAAACATGTAAATATATATATACATTGAAAAATGATGTCATACACACAATGAAATGATGTACTCGGCATTATTTAATAACTACAATTTAATAATTGTTTATCGCTCCTATTTATAAGAATATAAAAGTTTGTTTAAATAAATAAAATAAAAAATTCTATAAATATGGGAAAATTATCGATCGTAATCTAAATTAAGATTAAAATACAGTTTAAAGAAAAATTTGTAAAATATATAAATAATAATAAATAATAATAATAATATATTCTAATTAAATAAACTATTCTTAATACAAATAAATATTTATTTAATAACGGACAAGTAATAATTTATTTGAATTAAATAAATTTTTTTCAGTGTAATTTATAATTAATACGTTAAAAAATAAAATTAAATAAATAAACAAAAATAAAATAAAAAAAAGAAATAAAAATAATTATAATTTAATTATTTCTGTGTAAAATGTTGTGAATATAATAAAAATAAAATTATAATATAATATAATACAATTATGATATAATAATTGTAAATATAAACCGAATTGTAATTAAAAATTAAATTTTACATGAATGTGAAAAAGTCGAAGACAATAGAAAAAAAATTCATCAAAATAATTAAAAGCAAACAAAAAGTATAAAATTCACCTGATAAACAAAAATAAAATCGACTAAAAAAAAGAAAACAATAAAAAAATTAACAATATCCAAATATTTTTTTCTACTATTTCTCGTGGCAGAATCAAATGAATAATAAAAAAGAAAACAAAAGAAAAATTACTTTAATTTCGTTATTTCGTAATTTTTAAAAATCGATTTATTCAAATACTCCTTTGGCAATGACGTTGGGAAATGAGGTTAGTATTTAACATTGAAAATCATCGCAAACTTATTACGCAACATGAATATCAAATGACGTAAGAAAAATATTGTCTGTGATATTAAAATTATGAGAATTTAAAATCAAAAAAGAGAAAAAAAAATTTCTTTCTTTTTTTTTTGATAACTTACACACTCAACGCGTCTTTTTTTGACAATTTTTGTTTTCAATAACAACTTAAGATGGAGAAAAATATGCTATTGAATGAAATTATTATTTTTTTTTTGTCACGTTCCTTATTTGACAGGATTTCATTCATTTGCGAATGTTCACTTCTAATCCCTAATCAAGCTAAGCCCAATTATTCTCAACTCACCGATGACCTCGTGCTCTGTGCGACAACGAGATTGAAAATAATTGGATTCAATTCCCAGAATCTTATATTGCAAAATTTCGTTCAGTTATTCCTTTCCGTTTTTTCAAAAAAATTTATGTTTTATACTTTTGCCTTGAGTTTTTTTGGTGTTATTTTCATTTTTTTTCTTTGATTTTGGTCGTATTTTGGATTCTGGTTGTTTTTTGGTTCCTAGTAATAATTTATTGCTATTTGAATACTGTTTCTAATTTCTACCGTTACTTGTAACTTTTGTGACAAGACAATTGTTATTATTTGCAACAATTGTTATTTGTAACAATGAATATTTGTAATAATTGTAATTTGTAACAATTGTTATTTGTAATAATTGTTATTTGTAACAATTTTCATTTGTTACAATTGTTATTTGTAACAATTTTCATTTGTTACAATTGTTATTTGCAACAATTGTTATTATTTGTAACAATCGTTATTTATAATAACTGTTATTTGCAACAATTTATTCTTATTATTTGTAACAATTTTTACTTGTTACAATTGTTATAAATAACAATTGTTAAAAATAACAATTGTTATAAATAACGATTATAATACATAACAATTGTTACAAATAACAATTGTTATAAATAACGATTGTTACAAACAATAACAATTGTTGCAAATAATAACAATAAATTGTTGCAAATAACAGTTGTTATAAATAACGATTGTTATAAATAACGATTGTTACAAATAATAACAATTGTTGCAAATAACAATTGTTATAAATAACGATTGTTCCAAATAATAATTGTTGCAAATAACAATTGTTATAAATAACGATTGTTACAAACAATAACAATTGTTGCAAATATTAATTGTTATAAATAACCATTGTTACAAATAATAACAATTGTTGCAAATAACCATTGTAACTAATAACCATTATTACAAATAATAACAATTGTTACAAATAATAACAATTGTTACAAATATTAACAATTCTTACAAATAATAACAATTCTTACAAATAAAAATGGTTACAAATAAAAATGGTTACAAATAACAATTGTTACAAATAATAATTGTTACAAATAGCAATTGTTACAAATAGCAATTGTTACAAATAACAATTGTTACAAATAACAATTATTACAAATAGTTATAGTCACAAACAATGGTTGTTACAAAAACATTGACCAGTTTCGGGAAAAATTACCCAAGATCTCAATCAAAAACGAAAAAAGAAACCCCAAGAAAAAGAATCATTTTGCAAAAAAAAAAATTTGAAATATCATTATTAAAAATTTTTTTTCCATTTTTTGGTGTGTAAAAATTCATAAACTAGATTAGCAAGCGACAATTCGTGCAACGAAGCTATAACCCAATTTTCTCAGATAGAAGATATCTCGTCGTGCCGGTTCAACAATTGTTCCTTTTTATCGTTTTTCTGACCGCCTTCATGAAACCAAGATTACGCAATGCAATATATGCGTCGAGACAAGTGTATTGTGACAAGACGTTCTCCACTACATACCTTCTTCTCGCATGATACTCACACACTCTTGTATTATTCTCCAGCTTCCTTTGCATCTTCATCTCAAAGTCACTTTTCTCTCTTCTCCCATCCTCTCTCTCACTCTCTCACTCTCTCTTTATCCCTTTCTCAAGTCTCACCAATCTTTGACTTTTTCTACTTTTTCCTATCACTTATGTGATGCCCATTAAGCACACGTAATGAATATTAATACATTTATAAACCGTAATATTCCAACGTCATTGCAGAATCAACGACAGATTAATTTTATTTTTTTACACAAAAAAAAAAGAAAAGAGAATTGAAAGTAAATTAACAATTTGTAATTTATTTATATACGTTTGTAATTATTTATTATAAATAATTAATATAAATAAATAAATAATTTCTTTTATTATTATTATTATTATTATTATTATTATTTTTTTATTATTATTATTATTATTATTCATAATTTATTTTGTTTTTGAATTTTTAACAAATAAATAACAAACAAGTCGAAATTATTTATTAATTTTATTATTTGAAGAGTTACTCAATTTTCCAAAAATAAATAACAAATAAGTCTAAATTGTTTATTAATTTTATTATTTGAACAGTTAATTAATTGTCCAAAAATAAGTAACAAACAAGTCTAAATTGTTTATTAATTTTATAATTTAAACAGTTATTCAATTTTCCAAAAATGAATAACAAGCAAGTATTAATTATTTTCTAATTAGTAAACAATTAATATTTGCTTCTTATTTGTTTATTAATTAATTGTTAACTAATTAGTGAACAGTTAATACTTGTTATTCATTTTTTAAATCAACTGCTTAAATAAATAACCAAAAAAGTAATAAAATAGTAATTATTTAATGGTATTATTAATTAAATTTAATTTACTTAATAATTAATTAGTTATAATTATAATTATAACTATAGTATTAAATAATTAATTTAATAATTTTATTTTTATTTATAAAGGTAATGAACTTTCAAAAAATAAATAATAAGAAAGTAATAATTAGTTACTAATTAGTAAACAATTTATACTTATTGCTAGTTGAAATCTTTTACCAATAAATAATAATATAATTAATTAACAAATTATACTTTTTTGTTATCTATTTTTAAAAAATTCCATAACCAAATATAATAATAATGATAAACAATAGTAATAAATCATAATAAAATTAATAACAATTACCTACTTACTTGCTATAGGTTTTCTTGAATATTCAATAACGAAATAATCAATGAATAATAATAATAGTAATAAATAATAATAATAATAATAATAATAATAGTAATAAATAATAATAAATAATACTGATAGCATTAAATAATAATAAAATTAATACTGATAGCAATAAATAATAGTAAAATTAATAAACAATCATTTATTTTTATTGAAATAAAATTCTAATATAAAAAATTTATTTTTCTTTTTTTTTTTTTTGAAGTAAAATTATCAAAAAAATACGAAATGAAATTGTAAGTAAAAAAATAGTGATTGAATTGTTATTTGCGTAGAGAGAAAAATAATTTCATGACCTCCATTGGTGGCCTTTGCCTCAGATGTAAAACAATAGTGTTTGTAGTTGTATAATCCTATATTATGTTTATTAACGAATAATATTGAAATAAGTGAAACTATTTTAAGTAAATGAGTAAGTGAAATATACACGAGTACGATGATTATTATACATCCAGAAATGAGAATTTATTGAGGGAGACCAATCGTAGGCGAACAGGATTTTCACCAACTGCACCCTAACTCTTTAAATATCACAAATCTAGGTCCACTTCTTGTTACTAAATGTCTTTATATACACGAATTACCTATTTCAATTTCTATAGTTTCTGAACGAATTTATTTTCTCATTTACAAAGACGCCCTATTTTTCTATAAAAAACAAAATATTTTTCGAAAAAATAAATAATAATAACCTAATAATAACAATGTAGTAATAACAATAACAATAAATTATTAGCCATTAATTATTGTTATACAAAAAAATTTGTAGTAGATTATTTATTAATAATATTAGCATTAGAAACAAGTAATACAATAATATTATAATTGCTCATACGAATAAATAAATTATTATTTATTACTATTTTTTATTTTTATTATTCTAATTGAAATAATTTGTAAATATTGTAAAATTTACAATTTTTTCGGCTATTGGAAAAATTAATTTTTTATAAATTGGTAATTTTTATTTTTTATTTGATACGGATTCTCTCTCTGACAGTGGGGTAAGAACGGTTGTCATCATTCAGGAGAAAACTAGATTAAAATAAGTAAAAAAAAAATTCTCTAAGTATAAAACTTTTTGTCGCTGTCAAAATATAATTATTTTAATTGTATCATTGTATTATAATCGTATTATTATTTTATCTTATATAATAATAGAATTATTTATATTATTATTATTTGTAAAATTTATTATTAATATTAATAATATACAATATTAGTAATATAAAATATTATAAATAATATAATATTATTTATATTATTATTATTTATTATTATTATTTATTTTTGTTAATTATTAGTAAATTTGAATTTCTTCTTTAACTTTAAAATTTTTTTTTTTGAAAAAATAGAAAGGGTATAGAAAAGGTAAAAAATTTGACTGAGTTGGATAAAGGCGTAAAATTAATTTGATTTTTCAATTTTTGCCAAGTTTTTTAAACATTAAAATTCGAAAAGTAGGAATAGAACAACTGGGAGGAAGAAAATAGTTTATGGGAATGTGTATTTTCATACCCTCTGTTTATATACATAATATATATTTTTTAGCAACGCACAAAAAAGGCACTAGCATTGTTTATGGCTTCAGAACCGTATATGCAGATAAGGTAAAAAGTACTTGGCATAAATCTTCCCGTCGGTTAAAGACACCTTAGCATTTTTTCCCCCCATACGAAAAAGGTATAAGAATATCCCATTATAAGTTCGAGGAATTTTTATAATCAATTTTAATATTAGTGAAACGATTTTTATTTCGTATTTTGTAATTAGTAATTCTTTACTATTATTGCCATTATTATTAGCATAATAATATTACCATAATTATTATCATATTAATAACAATAATAAAAGACGATATTTTTGTTAAAAAAATGTTATCCTAAATTTTTTTTTACTTTCATAATTTTGAATTTGAAATAATTTATTTCTTGTATAGAATTTTATTAAAGTTTTTGAAAACAATTCAATTATTTCGAGGAAATTTATTTAAAACTTTTGAAAATAATTAAATTCTTTTCAGGAATATGGAATTAAAATTGTTCTGAAATTAATTGAATTCTTCCAAAGAATTTGATTAAATTTTTTGAATTTAATTTAATTCATTTTCAAGGAATTTTATTAAACGTTTAGGAAATAATTGAATTTTGGGAAAAGAAATTTTATTGAAATTGTATTGAAAATAATTAAATTTGTCAGAATAATTTTATACTTTATAAAAACAATTAAAATTGTTGCGATGAATTTTATTAAAATTTTCGAAAATAATTGAATTGTTTGGAAGAAAATTGAAATTCTTTTTTGGGAAATTCAGTTAAAATTATATTGAAAGTAATTGAATTCGTCTGAATAATTTTCTAATTTATGAAAACAATTTAATTCTTAAGACAAATTTTATTAAAATTTTCGGAAATAATTGAATTGTTTGGAAGAATTTCATTAAAAATTTTGAAAATGATTGAATTCTCTCAAATGGAATTTTATTAAAATTGGATTAAAAATAGTTGAATTCGTCTGAATCATTTTATAATTTATGAAAACAATTCAATTCTTGAGACGAATTTTTTAAAAATTTTCGAAAATAATTGAATTGTTTTGAAAGAATTTCATTAAAACTTTTGAAAATAATTGAATTCTCTCAAATGAATTATTTAAAAATTGCATTTAAAATAATTAAATTAGTCTGCATAATTTTAAAAATTAATGGAAAAAATTCAATTCTTGTGACGAATTTTATTAAATTTTTTGAAAATAATTGAATTGTTTTAAAGAATTTCATTAAAAGTTCGGAAAATAATTTATTTGTGTCGAAGAAAATAAAATTTTTTTTAAGCAATTTAGTTAGAATTTTATTGAAAATAATTGAATTCTTCTGATTAATTTTATAATTTATGAGAACATTTCAATTCTTGCGATGAATTTAATTAAAATTTTCGAAAATAATTGAATTGTTTTGGATGAAAGTTAATATTCTTTTTTCGGAAATTTAGTTAAAATTATTGTTTGGAAAGTAATTGAATTTGTCTGAATAATTTTTTAATTTATGAAAAAAATTCAATTCTTGAGATGAATTTTATTAAAATGTTTGAAAATAATTGAATTGTTTTAAAGAATTTCATTAAACGTTTGGAAAATAATTGATTTGTGTCGAAGAAAATTAAAATTTTTTTTTAAGGAATTTAGTTAAAATTGTATTAAAAATAATTGAATTCGTCTGAATAATTTGAAAAATTAATGAAAAAAACATTCAATTATTCTTGTGACGAATTTTATTAAAATTTTCGAAAATAATTTAATTGTTTGGATGAATTTCATTAAAAGTTTGTAAAATAATTGAATTGTGTCGAAGAAAATTAAAATTCTTTTTAAGGAATTTAATTAAAATTGTATTGGAAATAATTGAATTTTTATAAAGAATTGTATCAAAGTTTTTGATAAATTGAATTCTACTTTTATTAAAAATTCTACTTATATTAAAAATAATTTAATTCCCCCAAAGAATTTTATTATTTAAGAAAATAATTGAATATTTGCAAAGAATTTTATTAATATTTCAAAAATAATAATAATAATAATAATAACAATAATAATTAGTTAAAAATTTAATTTTTTAAAATTCTGAATCTTAAATTAGTTAAAAATTGAACTTGATATTTAAAAATTATTAATTAATTAATTTGAAAAATTTTTTGAAATTTGCCTTATATTAATAAATTAAATAAAGTGTTCAGCGCACAAACGCTCCGAACATTTTATAGTTAATTAATAATTTTAATTGAAATAATAATTAAATTATAATAAATTAAATTATAATAAATTAAATTAACAAAACAATTTTTTAAAAAATGAGGAAAGTACTAGAGAAAATTTTTAGTGAACAGAAAACGTATATAATGTGAAAAAAACAAAAAAATTTCCTAAACAAAATTTTGAAAATTAATTCCATTCTAATTCGGGAAAATAATACGATGATTGATTGTTAATGAAAATTGAGAAAAAAATTTATAACTGTTACAATTGAAATATATGTAAAATATGTAAATTAATTTATTAATCGCAGAGAAGCGGAAATGAAATGCTCTCGATGGATAAACAGCTTGAATATTTATCAAGGGAACTATTGAGAAGTGTAGTATTTGTTTAATACTAAAACAGTTTCGAATTCATGCATAGGGATAAAGTGCAAATTTATATATTATGCCGCATATAATTACGCGCATACATATAATCTCAACAGACATGCGTGTGACTCACAATATTCGTGATGAATGAATGAGTATAAATATGATAAAAAATATTATTGTCCTTATAGTTATTTGGTATTATATTTTCCAACTATAAATATTGTATTTAAAACGTGAAAAACATTCTCGAAATTTATTTTTCGTGAAAAATATTGAAAATAAACTTACCCCTTTTACTAAAGTGGCGAGGCAAGCCAGGGTCGCGAGCCATCTGTAAAAATAGAGAACTTTTATTAAAGTATTTATTTTGGTATTTTTTAGTATATTATTAATAATAATTTTTGTAGTAGTTTTTTGTATTTTTTTGGTATTTTTTTTTGTATATGATAATACTTTTGTAGTACTTTTTTGTATTATTTTAGTATTTTTGTATACGATAGTATTTTGTAGTACTTTTTAGTATTATAAACAATACAAAAAAGTACTATAAAAATACTATAGTATTTTTTTGTATACGATAGTATTTTTTATATTGTTTTGGTATTTTTTCTGTATATGATAGTATTTTTTTGTATTGTTTACAATACAAAAAAACAATACAATAAAGTACTACAAAAATACTATTATATACAGACAAAATACTAAAACAATACAAAAAAGTACTACAAAAATACTATGGTATTTTTTTGTATAGTTTTAGTATTTATTTGTATACTATAGTATTTTCGTAGTACTTTTTTGTATTGTTTTAGTATTTTTTCTGTACATAACAGTATTTTTGTAGTACTTTTTGTATTGTTTACAATACAAAAAGCACTATACAAAAAAGTGCTACTAAAATACTATTATATACAGAAAAAATACTAAAACAATACGAAAAAGTACTACGAAAATACTATAGTACTTTTTTGTATTTTTATTACTTTTGTTTGCTACAAAAATTTTTTATATATTGAAATATAGATAGGAAAATTTTTTTAGTACTTTTACTAATTTTAAGTATTTTTTTTGTTTACTGTTACAGTAGTGACAATTATTATTATTAGATTTAAATTATTTACACTCTTAGCAAGCACAGAGTTTATCTAAAAAAAAAAGAATCGTTTTCTATAAAAAGCCACAAATCCAAAGCAGTAAATCAGAATGATTTAGAAGCATTCAGTATAGATTTTTATTTTAAAATAGATTACATAAAAATAGTATTTTTATTATCAACACTTTTATTTTATTCCTCTATATTCATAATTAATTGGATGAAAAAAAAGATTCTCTCAATTTTTACTGATTAATGATAAAATTTTCTTTATATTAAATATTGATACACACAGAGAAATATTTTATGTGAATCAAATATAATTTAGTTCTGTTAAATAAAAGAGTATTTTTGTCAGAACTCAGAAAATTTATTATTTCTTCTGTATATAACATTTATTCGACAAAGAAAGAATTTTTTTATTTGAATCAAATAAAATTTAGTTTGATCAAAAAAGAAAATTTAATTTGAAGAAAATAAAATGTATTTAAATCAAATCAGAACCGGAATCGAATCATTGCTTTAAATAATTTTTATTTGATTTAAATAAATTATCGGTTCAAAGAAATTTTCTTGGTTCACGAAAATTTTATTTGATTCAAATAAATTTTGTTGGTTCAAATGCAAATTTTATTTGTGTCGAATAAAACTTGTTTTAAATAAATTCTATTAGGTTCGAAGAAATTTTATTTGATTCAAAAACATTTTTATGCTTCAAAGACAAATTTTATTTTCATTGAATAAAATTTTCCTTGGTTTAAATAAATTTTCTTTGGTTCAAATAAATCTTCTTTTAATTAAAATAATTTTATCTTGGTTGAAATAAAAATTTGATTAGTGTTTAATAGAATTTTCTTTGGTTCAATTTTTGTTGTTTCAAATACATTTTTTTTCGTTTAAAATTTTTGGTTAAAAATCTTGAAAAAAAATGTTGGTTCAGATAAATTTTTGGTGGTTTAAATAAATTCTATTTGATTTAAATAAATTTTTATAGTTTTCAATAAATTCTGTTTGGTTCAAAAAAATTTTATTTGATTCGAAGCCATTTTTGTGGTTCAAATACAAATTTTATTTGTGTTGAATAAAATTTTTATTGGTTTAAATAAATTTTCCTTGGTTTAAATAAATTTTGTTTGAATCAAATAAATTTTTTTAGTTTATAAGTTTAAATAGATTTTTGTTACTGGTTCAAATAAACATTTTATTCCTGATAAATAAAAGTTTGCTTGATTTAAATAAATTCTAATGTATTTGATTCAATTTAAATTTCATTTCATTGAAGTAAAAGTTTTATTTGTGTTGAATGGAATTTTTCTTGGTTCAACTAAATTTTATTTGATTCAAATAGATTGTTTTTTGGTTTAAATAAATTTTTTCTTTGTTTAAATAAATTTTCTGTTGTTTAAATAATTTTATCTTGGTTAAAATAAAAATTTTATTTGTGTTGAATAGAATTTTCTTTGGTTCAATTAAATTTTGGTTGTTTCAAATAAATTTTTTTTCGTTTAAAATTTTTGTTGCTGAAAAAAATTTTGATTCAGATAAATTTTTGTTGGTTTAAGTAAATTCTATTTGATTTAAATAAATTTTTGTGGGTTTTAATAAATTCTGTTTGGTTCAAATAAAAATTTCTGTAGGTTCAAATAAAAATTTTATTTCTGTTGTAGAAAATATTCCTTTGTTTAGATAACTTTTCTTTGTTTCAAATAAAAATTTATTTGTGTTAAATAGAATTTTCCTTGATTCAAATAAATTTTGTTTAAATCAAGTGGATTTTTTTTTAATTTTAAAAGTTTAAATAAATTTTTGTTGGTTCAAAAATAACAATTTTATTCGTGTTGATTAATATTTTGCTTGATTTAAATAAATTCTAGTTTATTTGGTTCTAATTAAATTTCATTTTGTTCAAATGAAAATTTTATTTGTGATAAATAAAATTTACGTTGGTTGAAATAAATTTTGTTTAATTCAAATAGATTTTCTTTGATTTAAATATTTTTTTTATTTATACAAATAAATTTTTTGTTTGTTCAAATAAATTTTGTTTGATTCAAATGGATTTTCTTTGATTTAAATAGATTTTCTTTGATTCAAATAGATTTTCTTTGATTTAAATAATTTTTTGTTGGTCCAAATAAAAATTTTAATTGCACTAAATAAAATTTTGCTTTTAAACAAATACCCAAATGATTTATTAGTCTCCATGAAAAAAATACTTTTATTTACCTCAAATAAATAATATTTCGTTAAAATTAAAAATTAAATAAATTAATTAAAAATTTCTCTCCACATGCGAATAAAATATTTAGTTGAACTAAATAAATTTTCCTTGGTTCAGATAAAATTATTGGTTCAAATAAAAATTTAGTTGCTCGATTCAACCAAAGTTTGGTTATTTCAAATAAATTTCTCTTCCTGAGTCTATAAATAAGAAAAAAAATTGAAATTGAAATTACTTGAAATAAATTTCATCTCCTGAGTCTCTAAATGAGAGAAAAAAAATTGAAATTGGAATGAGAATCGTAATAGAATTGTGGATATTTATATATGTGTTAGTATGTAAACAGTGGGTGTTCTAAATAAAACGCCTCAACTTGTTAACTCGATTGGAATATTTCCGGTATGGGGGCCAACTAAACGCAGGGGTACAAAAATATCCCGTTGGATAATGGCGGATGATCGTGAGGCAAATGGTGTATATGTAAAGTCTGGCCTGAGAGAGTCTGTTTCACGAGTTTATAGTCGAGAGTCAAAGGGTGGAAAGGTTGCTGAGAATAGTGGGGGGATCGCACGTGAAAGGAACAAGGATCAGGTGGATGAGCATGTGGGTGAAGAAACATATCATGTAGCAGAAGAGAAAGATTCCAGGATAACAAGAAGGCTCGTCTTCCATCCCCGCAATGTTTATGCGATGATCAAAAAAGGAATTTTCGGTGTCTCGGAAGCACACTGTATTCACGAGATCAGACATCGATCGAGGAAGAGGAAAAAAGAATGAGACGAAGAAAAAGACGGATAATAACGATAATGATGATGAAGAGTATATGATGAGTATACTTTGCCAATCGGACCGTTATCGGAATTTTTTTTCTTTTCTTTCTTTTTTCTTTTTTGAATTTATGAACTGATCGTGAGACAAAAAAATGTAGATCAATTCGTTGCTCTTTTTTTGGTGGTAATCCTTTTTTTTGACTTTAGAAGAAAATCTTTTTACTTTTGAAAAAAATCGTTTATACTAAAAAAAAAATATTCTCTTTTGAAAAAATCTTTCTTACTCGAAAAAAATCCCTTTATTTACATGGGAAACAAATTTTACTTGGAAAAAAAATTTACTTAAGAGAAAAAAATTGTTTACTGGGCAAAAATCGTTTTGTTTACTCGGAAACAAAATTTTTATTTCATAAAGAAAATTTACTTTTAAAAAAATGTTATATACTAAAAAAAATCTATTTTACTCGAAAAAAGTCCCTTTGTTTACTTAAGAAACAAATTTTACTTTCGAATAAAAATTTACTTTTAAAAAAAGTCTTTTTTTCTCGAAAAAAAAAGGTTTTTGTTTCTTTGGGAAACAAATTTTACTTTGGAAAAAAATTACTTCTGAAAAAAATGTTTTTCTCTTGAAGAAAAATTTACTTTTGAATAAAAATCTTTTTTGTACGAAAAAATCTTTTGTTTACTTTGAACAAAAATTTACTTATGAAAAAAAAATTTTTTGCTGGTCAAAAATCGTTTTGTTTACTTGGAAACAAAATTTTTATTTCAGAAAAAAAATTTACTTTTGTAAAAAATATTTTTCACTGAAAAAAATATTTTTTACTCAAAAAAAAAAATCCCTTTGTTTACTTACGAAATAAATTTTACTTTGGAATAAAAATTTACTATTGAAAAAAGTCATTTTTACTCGAAGAAAATGTTTTTTTTTCTTTGGGAAACAAATTTTTATTTGGAAAAGAAATTAACTTTTGAAAAAAATATTTTTTACTCGAAGAAAAATTTACTTTTGAATAAAAATCTGTTTTTCTCGAAAAAAAATTATTTGTTTTTCTCGAAAAAAAATTATTTGTTTACTTTGAAAAAAAATTTTTACTTTAGAGAAAAAATTTACTTTTGAAGGAAATCTTTTTTACTCGAAAAAATGTTTTCGTTTCCTTGGGAAACAAATTTTACTTTGGAAAAAAATTTACTTTGGAAAGAAATCTGTTTTACATTAAACAGTAAATTAAAAGAAAAATTTTTAAGGAAAAAGAGGAATAGAAGTGAAAAAATTGAAGAAATGGAAAAAAAATTTTTGAAAAAAGAAATGAAGACTGTAAGGGATGTTGTAAAATTTGAAGGAAACAAATGAAGATCATCGTTGAAATTATTGAAAGCAAAGATCCTTGTAATATAGAGATGAGAAAATTACAGATATAAACTTACAATTTTTAGAAGTTGAGAAGTGTGAGAAAATGCTGAAGACATAATGTCGGGAGAATTTTAAAAATGTCTGAATTTGCAAGAAAAAAATTTTTTTTTCTCTTTTGATTCTTTTTTAAAAAAAAACATCAACCAATTACAGAGAAAGAAACGGAAAATTATAAAGCGAAAAAAGTTAATGTAATAAATAAATATAAATTAATAAATAATCGTAGCAAATAAATAATAAAACTGAAATTGTTAATTAATTAAATAATTAAACAATTAGATAATTAAATTTAATAATAATTAATAAGTATGAAAGTAATTAATTATAATTAAGTAATTAAATTAACTAAATATTGTGAATAATAGAAACAACAAAAATAATAATAATAACAAAAATAATACTAATAATAATAAATAATAATAAATAATAATAAATAATTAATTAATAATTAATTAATAAAAGGTGTAAAATATAATAATTGTAAATGAAAAATAAAAAAAATAAACAAATTTTTATTTATTTCTATAAATATTATAAATAATAAGAAATAAATAATAGAAATTTGATAAATATAATAATTATAAATGAATAATATAAAAAAGGAATTACAAGTGTAATAAATAAATAGAAAAAATATAAAAAGAAAAATTAATTTATTAGTTTTAATAATTAATTAAATTAATAATTAAATAGCAAGAAAAAAAATAAGAGAAAATACAAAATGATTACATGAGAATGAATTATACTAGGAATTGAACTGATAATTCCGAATTATGAAGAGAAAGAAAAAAATTAATAATCGAAAATATAAGAAGAAATAGAAAAAAAGTGTTTAATGAGATAACCAGAAATGAAGCAAATACAAATAACATATTGTCTTCAAACGGAATTGATTATTAAAGTGAGGAAAAAAAATTTTTCTTTTCGTAAATATTCACTGATAAATAATTAAAATTAAACTAATTAAATTAAAATATAATTATTTTCTTTTTCTTTCTTTAAATGTATAATTCTTGAAAAGTATTTTAATTATTTTTGAATACATTCAAAACACATGTTCAACATGTGTTTTAAATAAATTTAGTCCGGAAAAAAGTGGGTCAAAATGATTCACATTTAGACTGATAAAATTTTTTCTGTGTTTTCTTTTTGGTATTTTCTTGAGAAATTAAAAAAAAAGTCTTAAATTAGAGAAAAAAGAATTTATTATTTTTATCATAAATGAAAAGTTTTGAATATTTTCTTGTTAAGCAGAAGAAGAAGAAGACTTAGATGCAAATTCTGACGGAACAAATTATGGAAAACGGAATAAAATAAAGGGATTATTTGGTATTAAAGAAAATAAGAAAAAACGAAAAAAAAGATTAAACAATTGTGAGAAAAAATTTTAATGAATGAAAATGAAGTGATAAGAGAAAAAAGAGATGATTCTTCAGCATTGAGAGATATGAAGAATGAGAGAGGAAGAGGAAGTAGATGAAAGTGAGAGTATGTCAGTGGTGATCAACCGATGGAAATTTAAGTTTGTCGAATGGAAAGAGAAGAAATGAAATAATTACGAAAGAAAAAATTATTTTTTTTTTTTTGAAATCGGAACATATTAGAAATTAACAATCGCGATTAATTTTTTGAACTGATGATTTTTTTCTTCCGTATTTCCTTTCGCTGAGAAAAAAAAGGTGAAGAAGAAAATGAAGATAAATGAGAAGAAAATGAAGAAAAACAGAAAAATTTAATTTCAAAGAAAATGAAAAGGAGGAAAAATTAAAAACGAAAAATATGGAGAAAATGGAGAAAAATAGAAAGTAAGAAAAAATGCAGAAAAAAGATGAATTAATATCACAGAAAATGAAGGGAAACGAGAAGAAATAATATAAGAGAAAATGAGGAAAAACGAGAAGAATAAATATAGAAGAAAATGAATAGAAACGAGAAGAATAAATATCGAAGAAAACGAAGAGAAACAAGAAGAGTAAATTTGAAAGGAAATTAAAAGAAATAAAAATCAATAAATAACAAATTTAGAAAATTTATTAAAATGAAGAAAGCGAAGAAAAATGATGAAAATTGAGGAAAATCAAGAGAATCATTTAAAACAAATGAAAAGAAACGAAAGTAAATAAAAGAAAATTGAAAAATGTCGAATTAAAGAAATTAATTAAATTAAATTAAAGAAATTAAAGAAATAAAAAGAATTAAAGAAAATTTTAAAAAATAAAGAATTAAAGAATTTGAATAAATGAAAATTAAAGAAAATTGAGGAAAATAAAGAGAATAAAGAAAAATGATGAAAATTGAGGATGACCAAAAGAACCATAAAATAACAAAGTTTTCCATGTGAGGAAGCAAAATTGAAAAGAATCGAAATGTAAATAAAAGAAACTTGAGAAAAGATTTCGAATTAGAGAAAAAGAAGAGAAACAAAAAAAATTGAGGAAAATGAATAGAATCAAAGATTCTCAATCACAGAAAAGAGTGATTCAATATTAATAGAAGAAACATTAAAGAAGACGCGAAATGTGGATAAGAATAAAAGAAATAATAAAAGAAGATTATTTTTAATAATAATAAGATAAAGAACAAAAAGAAGAAGAAGAAAAAATGAAATTAATAATAATAAAAATAATATTAAAAATAATAATAATTATAATAATAATGATGATGATGATGATGATGATGATGATAATAATAATAATCTTAAATAAATAAATAATAAGAATAAAAAAATTTTAATTTAGAATAAAAGAAAATAAAATAAAACAAGTTTAATATAGAAAAAATTCAACGAAGATAAAGAAAGAAGAGAAAAATAGAGAAATAAAATTAATGAAGAATATTAAAAAATGACAAATGTTAAAGAATACGAATATCAAGAATGATAAAAGAATAAAGAAAATGAGAATATTGTATACAAATACTCGAATAATATAAGAAACGGAAAAATTTTTTTTTAATATTATAGAATGGAAATAATGTATAAAAAATTAAAACAATTAATTATTAAACCAAGAAATTAATTAATTATTAAATAAGTTTAGAATTAAATTAATCATTAAAATAGTTGAGGGTTAAACTAATTATTATCATAAAAATTAAATTAATCATTAAAATTGTTCATCATTAAAATAGTTAAATAAATAAGTAAATTAAGAAATATTAAATTTCCCCGAATAATCGTAAATTGATGTGTGTAAAAATAGTGAACAATTTAAAAAAAAAAGAATTTCCCCAAAAGTTTCAAAAGTTAATATTTTTATTCATTCTTTGAACTTGAATTTTATTTAGAAAATTTTGTTTAATAATTAAAAAATAATTTTGAACTAAATATTCATTTGCAATATTCATTTATTTCAGTTTAGTAATTTTTAAATTAAGGCAAATTAAACGAAAGTAATTTTTTAAAATATCGAGAAAAAAATATTTCCTTCATTTTGAACGTTCAAAATTTTATGAAAAGAAAAGGAAAATTTAAGAAACAGTATAATAGAGAAGAAAAACACTAGGGCGGAAAATAAACACTAGTAAAAAGCTAGTAGACAAAAAAAAAATTATGAAAAAAGAAGATTAAAAAAAAAAAATAAAAAATATCGAAAAGATACGAAAACAGGAAAAAAGAATTTGAATGAATGTCTAATGAATCGTTCGGATAGATGTAAATTAACATTGAAGAAAATGGAATTGATGAAAATTGATAACAATATTGAAGAGATGTGTTAAAAATAAGGGTTGAGAAATGAGAACTCACCGCAATCCCGGCCGGATCATCTCGACCCCCCTATTCCTGTGAGGTCTAGGGAGTCGACTTTGGCAGGAGCCTTATTAAGTCCGTTTACGGATGGACTGTCGGGCAAATAATCTCGGGCAGCAGTGGCACCGTGGTGAGGAGACGTGTGCGGAGTCGTCCCATCCAGGGAGGACTCTGAATGAACTGAGGAGGGAAGGAAGGTGGAGGCGGTGGACACGAGCCACGCCAGCTAGGATTCCTCCGCGGCGAGGAGGTTGCTGCCGCCGGTGGTGGTGGTGCAACTTCTTCTTCTTCTTTTTCTTTTTTCCAACCCCTTTTTTCCTTCTTTAGCACCCTCTGCTTTTTTCTTTATTTTCTCTTACTCTTCTTTTTTCTTTATTTCTTCTTTCTCTTTTTCCCTCTGTTTTCTTCTTTCTCCTTTTTAGCACCCTTTGTTTTTTCTTCTTCTTTCTTTTTTTCTTCTTTCTCTTCTTTAACACTCTCTGTTTTTTCTTCTTCTTTCTTTTTTTCTTCTTTCTCTTCTTTAGCACCTTCTGCTTTTTTCTTCTTTCGCTTCTTTATCACTCTCCGTTTTTTGCTTCTTCTGTCCTTTTTTCCTCTTTCGCTTCTTTCTTCTCCTGTTTTGCTTCTTTTCTCTTTTTATTCTTATGCTTCTTCTTTAGCACTCTTTCTTTGCTTCACTTTTCTTTTTTCTTCTTTTTCTTCTCTTGCTTCTTTGGTACCCTTTTTTCTTTTGCTTCTCTTTTAATTCTCTTCTTCTTTTTTTCTTCTTTTCTCTATTTCCTTTATTCTCTTTTTACTTCGTTTGCTTCTCAAGCATCGCCTTCTTTCTTTAGTCTTTCTCTTGTTCTTCTTCTTTCTTTTTCCTTCTTATTAATTTAGTCGTGTGTTCTTTGACTTCTTTTCGAAATTTATTTTCTTTTTCTTCGTCTCTTTGCCTTCTTTTCAGAATTTATTTTCCTCTTCTTTGCCTCGTTTTCTCTTATTATTCGAAATTAATTTTCCTCTCCTTCGTCACTTCTCCTCCTTTTTCGATTATTAGTTTCCTCTCCTTTCACACCCCAGGGGGTGGGGGTGGGGGATTCCCCTTCCTTCCTCTTCGGCTAATTTTTGCTTTTTTCTTTTATGAAGGAAATGGGAAATCTCTTCTTCTCGTCTCCATTTTCCTCTCTTGTTCTCCTCCTTTTTTTTATTTTCCTCTCCTTCTTGGGGGTTTTTCCTTTTCTCTTTGGAGTTTTCCACCTCTCTTTGGAGTTTTCCTCTTCTTTTTGTAGTTTTCCACTTATTTTTGGGGTTTTCCTCCTCTTTTTTGTGTTTTCCACCTCTTTTTGAGGTTTTTCCCCTTCTTTGGGGTTTCCTCTTCTCTTTTGGGTTTTTTATCCTTTTCTTGGGGTTTCCTCTCTCTTTTGGATTTTTTTTATCCTTTTTCCTGGGTTTTCCCTCCTCTTTTGGCTTTTTTATCCTTCTTTCGGCTTTTCCTGTTCGTTTCGTTTCGCCTCTCGGCGCTTCCCTCGTTCTCCTGAGTGATTATAAGCTTCTTATTCTCGTGACTAAACAGACTCCAGACTCAGCGCTCTCGGTCCAGACTAGCAACCGCGAACAGTTCACCAATGAACCCAAGAGGCTGAGAGAACAGATCGCGCATCTCCCCGTGACTGTTGCGCGGTTCCAACTCCCTCTCTCTCTTTCTCTCTTTGATTGGCTCTCTACTCCTCCAACTCTTGGTGGACACACACTCTCTCTCCTTATCTCTCTTTTACCCCCCTGTTTCCTCTCTCTTTTCCTCTCTCGTTTTCTCTCTCTTTCTCTCTCTTTTCCTCTCTCGTTTTCTCTCTCTTTTACTCTCTTGTTTCCCCTCTCTTTCTCTCTCTCTCACTCACTCGCTCGCTCCTCGACTCGCGGGCAAGGCGAGTGTGTGATCGGTTGAAATGTGTTATAGTTGTACGAATATCGGACCGCGCGACAGCAGCGAAACGCGCAAGGATACAAAAGAAAAATAAAAGGGCGGAAGAAGAGCGACGAAAGCGTTTGGCTTTTGAGGAAAAAAGATTCCACCACTCACTCGAATGAAGCGTGAGACGTGGAGTGTGTGTTGAGGAGAGCGAAGGGACACTGGTGAAAAATCGTCATCATCATCATCATCATCTTCTTCTTCTTCATCTTGTTCAGAGAGAGAGAGAGAGAGAAAGAAAAAAAGAGAGCGAGAGAGAGAAGGAAGAGATAGGGGAGACTAGAAACTCCCGACACGACAGAACGAAACAAGGCACGGCGAGACGATATCCTCCGAGACTCTCGACGCGGTGGTGGACCAAACTTTAAAAACAAAAAACAAAAAAAAATTTCTTTTTCTCCCTCGTGATTTTTTTTCCACCTTTAAAAAGAAAGAAAACGACATGACGTGTAGTTTTGGTCGAGAATCGCGGTAGTATCATCCCTCCCCCCACCCCTCTCTCTCTCTCTTCATCACTTGTCCCTACCCCCCTCCAAAATTTTTTCCAATCGGGATTTTTTTCTTCTTTAATTTTTTGACCGCGAAAGAAGAGACAAGATGCGGCCGAAGGGTCGCATCTTAATATTCAAAGTTGCGGAACTTTTATGGATTGTCTTTCTTTTCACTGGATGGATTACAGGTGTTGAGAGTGTGGTGAGTAGTATTTTTTTCCTTTTTCTTGTTATGATTTTTGAGTCGGAATAGTAAAAATTATTTTTTGGGGTGGGAAATGAATGAGAACCACTGTATGATGTGTCGCAAGATTTTTTTTTTTGAGAGGGAAAAATGATTTGAAATGAGTGTTCGAGATTAGATTATTGTATATATATATATGTATGTATAGAGATGTGTAATAATTTGCGTGAAGAGGATGCTGTGAATTTGAATGGGAGATTTTGCTTTTAGATTTATTGGGTGTTTGTGCGTTGATCAATTGTCGATTAATTTTATATTCTTATTAGGTATTATTTCGCTTCGCGACTTCTGTTTCATGACGGATTTATTTTTCTTGAACCAATTTTTTTTAATACAGTTTTTATATTTATTTTCTTTGTTTTAGTTTTTGTTTATTTAAATCCTGTTAAATTATTCATTTATTATTTTTATTATTATTGTTATTTTAATGTTATTATTTATTATTTTATTTTATTAATTTTTATTTATAAATGATTTTAATAATTTTTATTTATTAATAATTTTAATAATTTTTATTTATAAATGATTTTAATAATTTTTATTTATAAATGATTTTAATAATTTTTATTTATAAATAATTTTAATAATAAATGTTTAATTTCTTTTTATATATTTACATTGTTTAAATTTTTTGTTTATATTTATTTTACAAATTTCCTATTGTTTTCTTGTATTTTTTTTTTTTTTTTTGGTTTCTTGTATTTTTTATTTATTATCTTAATTTATTTATTATTAAAATTACTTATTATTTAAATTATTCATTTATTAACTATTAGAATTATCTGTTTACTATAATTATTAAAATTATTTGATTACAAATGTTTTTATATTTGTTGTAATAATTTTTATTTTACAACTTTTCTATTTATTTAATTTGTTGCATTTTTTGTTAAATTTCCTTTTATTTAAAAAATGTTCTACTTAATTTATTTTTTTGATTTTTGGTTCATTTTTATTCTATTTTTCAATTTTTCTATTTATTTGCTATCTTGTAGATTTATTTTGTTTTAGAATTCTACGAATTTATACAAACTACATGTATTTGTAGTTTATTAATTAATTCATTTATTTGTTATTAAAATTATTTATTTATTTGTTATTAAAATTATTCATTTAAAAATTATTAAAATTATTCATCTATTAAATATTACAATTATTTATTTACTATTTACTACAATTATTTACCTACTATTAAATGTTTCTACTTTTGTTAAATTAATTTTTATTTTTATTTTACAACTTTTTTATTATTTAATTTTTTGCAATTTTGGTTAATTTTCATTTGAATTTTTGGTCCAGTTTTGTTCTATTTTATAATTTTTCAATTCATTTTTGCTGGTAAAAAATCTTGTTTTATTTATTTATTATTAAAATCATTTATTTATTTATCATTAAAATTATTTATTTCGAAATTTCACCGTTTATTTTATTTATAGTTATTTATTTATTTATTTATTTTGCAATTTCTCTATTTATTCAAACCGTTGCATTTTTAGTACACTTTTAATAATTGAATATTTTAATTAATCCTAGTTTGTTGTTGGTAAAGAAACAAACTTATTACAATACAAATTAAATTTGTCGAATCCATTTGAATCAATTTTTAAAAATTCATATTTTCTTTTTTCACTGAATTGATTTATTATTGATAAAGAAAAGATTAAAGGCACACCGGATGGTTATTATAAATTTTATGGTACTTTATCTTCAGATGTCATCTGGATAAAGGAACCTTGATTGGTTATGCAGCAGGAATTGAGGATTTGCGTTTAAACATTATTTGCCGGTCACTTTTCATAACTGTAAAGTCTATATTATGTGATGTAATAATTAAAAATAATTTTTATACATTTTTGTCAATTTCGTAAATTAAATTTAATATTTTGTGGCTTTTTTTTTAATTTAAGAACAAATTTCTTGTTATTTTCGAACATAAAATTTAAAAATATTTTACAAATTATCATTGGGACAATTAATTTGTAGTTGCAAATAATAATAGTTGTATTTACTAGTAGTTGCTAAAAATAATTGTTGAATTTACTAGTCGTTGCAAGTAATAGTTGTATTTACTGGTAGTTGCAAAAATAATAGCTACATTCACTAGTAGTTAAAAATAATAATAGTTGTATAAAAATATAGTAGGTAATAGTAAACACTAGTAGTTTTAAATAATAGTAATTGCAAATATTGGTAGTTGCAAACACTAGTAGTTACAAATAATAATAGTTGTGTTTACTAGTATTTGCAAAAATAATAGTTGCATTTACTAGTCGTTGCAAAACACTAGTAGTTTTAAATAATAGTAGTTGCAAATAATAATAGTTGCATTTACTAGTAGTCTCTAGTAGTTGTAATTTCAAACACTAGTAGTTCCAAAAAACACTAATTGCAAACAATGAAAAATGAAAATACTAGTATTTACAAAAATTGGCAATTACAAAACTTGGCAGTTTGAAAAAAATTAGTAAAACCGCAAACAATGTTAGTTAAAAAAGCACGTTAATTTTCAAGCGACTCTTGTAAAATACATTAAACAGTTAATTGAATTGCTAATGAAGCAAGGCGAGTGAAAAAGGTTTTCGAAGAGTGGGAGGGAGGGAATGAGCATTTAAGGAATCTGTATAAGAAGTTCTTGTTGGTTTTTCTTTGAAAATTATAATTGGTGATAATCGGACAATTCATAAGAGCACTCTGCAAATGAATATACATACATTTACCCCGGATGTGATGCTTGCAGCTAAGAATCAAATGCAAAATATGTATACAAAAACTATCTTTGCTATATTATAAATTTATAATATTATGCTCGAGTCGAGTTACACGCACCACCAAGATTGAAAAATTGCATATCATCAACTTTGATGGAGATAAATAATATTTTACATATGTTTCGTATATAATATAATATATACATTTAAATGAAAAGATTTTCAGAATCGTTTATTTGCATCACAGATTCTTCTAGTGAGAAAAAGGAGAAAATGAAAAAGAAACAAGTAACTTCTGTTTTTCTTTTTGTTTTTTTTTTTTAATGAATATTTTATTATGTAATATGAAGATTTTTATTATTTATCAAGTAATAAATAAATTAATTAAAAAATAAATTAATGAATAAAAGAAAAATAAATAATAAAATAAATTAATAAATAAAATGAAAATAAATAATAAAATAAAAAAAAATTATTAAAATTAAAATATAATTAATACAATATTATAGCGCGCGAAACATGATATTGAAATTTATTATTTTTTTCCAAATTAACAATATTTTTTATTTTCGAATATAAATTTCAATTGTTGCGATTAATTTCAAATTCAAAATTTTAAAAATTTACTTCTTATGTTCTTAGATAATTAATTGTACTTGTTTATTGTTTTCAACAATTTTTATAAAATTCTTCGCAAGAATTCAATCATTTTCATATGTAAATAATAACATTCTTCGGAAGAATTCAATTATTTTTATAAATAGTAAAATTTATTGCGGAAATTCAATTATTTTCAATACAATTTTAATATAATTGTATTTAATTTCGCGAAAGGATTCAATTGCTTTTAAAGTTTTTTATAAAATTTTTCGATCGAATTCAATTATTATTAATACAATATTTTAATAAAATTCAATAATCAATTTTTTTAATTATTATTACTTTCAAAATTTTCATTCAAAAATATTTAAAAAAAAACTCTGCTATTTCATAAAAAATTTCAAAGAAATTCTTCAAAAGAATTTAATTAGGATTTTCAAAAATTTTAATAAAATTCTTTGGGAGAATTAAATTATTTTCATGAATAATAACATTCTTCGGAAGAATTCAATTATTTTCAAATACAATTTTAATAAAATTCAATAATCAATGAAATACAATTTTTAATTAAAATTTTAATTATAATAATTAAAAATTTCTAAAGAATACTTGAAAGAAATTCTTCACAAAATTCAATTACTTCAAAAATATGTAATTAAAATTATTAAGGAAACTCCATTGTTAAATTAAATAATTAAATAATTAAATTAAAATTTTAATAAAATTCTTCAGAAAAAATGTAATTATTTTTATAAATAATAAAATTTTTCGATGGAATTCAATTATTTTCTATTTGATTGAAATAAATGATTACTTTTCTATTAATTAATAAATATTTACTTGAAACAAATAATATTTACTTGAAACAAATAATATTTACTTGAAACAAACAATATTTATTTAAATGAAATAAATTTAAATCAATAATTATTTGAGCCAAAAATTTCAGTATTTGAATTAATACATTTTTTCAGTATTTTATTACACTTATTTATAAAATTATAATGTTATCATTATTACAATAGAAAATATTTAATAAAAAAAATTTAATTACTCCTATTCATTCTTTTCGAGTAATTAATTAATTTATATATAAAAATTTTAATAGTGGGTCATTTTTCTCGTTATAGAATCTAATAATTAGTGAAGTACTTTATGCCTATATGGTATTATGTGATAAGACAAATTTTAATAAGTATGTCTCGCTTTTTGTTCTTTGTCATACATATATGTATATGCTACATATATTGCTTATTAAGAGCAAGATGTGGATGCTGCTTATTGTCACTTCGCGAATAGTACTTTAAATTTATATTCGACATAATGATAATCAGCAGATGAAAATTATTATCGCTCATCACTACCCTATACTTATATATGTCGGGATTAAATTGACAATTATTTAGGTACATTTCACAATGATAATTTTCATCAATCATCATTGGTACAGTTGTAATGATTCTTTTAAATTAACGAATAATTTGCGAAACATCAGTCCTTCGTTTTCAATTTTTTGTTTTTTTGGAGGAAAATTTCAATTTTCCTGCGCATTTTTCTTTTTTTTCGACTCGTGAATTTTATTTTACTTACAGGAATAAATAAATAAAAAAAAAGAAAGTAATAATAATAATAATAATATTTAAATAATAA